CTGGCGGCCTGAGGGCAGAGACCGGGCACGGCTGGCCGGGCGGGACCCGAGGCCCAAGGCTGCCCATGCTGGGTGGGCTGGGCCAGCAGTCCGCAGAGTCCTCTGGTCCCCAGGCCCAGGGCTCCAGGCTTCATCCCAAGGCCAGAACGGGGGGCCACGTCCCGTCTGGCCCTCAAGGTCAGCCAGCGCAGGGGCCTTTAACTGCACCCTCCATGGTCATGAAGTCATTTTAAAAATATTTATTTTACTTATTTGAAAGGCAGAGTTACAGAGAGAGAGATATCTTTTTATTATTATTGTTTTAATTGACAGGCAGAGTTAGACAGTGAGAGAGAGAGAGAGAAACAGAGACAGAGAGACAGAGAGAGAGAAAGGTCTTCCTTCCTGGTTCACTCCCCTAATGAGCCAGGAGCCAGGTGCTTCCTCCTGGTCTCCCATGCGTGTGCAGGGCCCAAGCACTTGGGCCATCCTCCACTGCCTTCCCGGGCCACAGCAGAGAGCTGGACTGGAAAAGGGGCAACTGGGACTAGAACCCAGAGCCCATATGGGATGGCAGTGCCACAGGCGGAGGATTAACCAAGTGAGCCATGGTGCCAGCCGAGTGGGGGGGAGAGGGAGAGAGAGGAAGAGGGAGAGGGGAAGGGGATGAGGGAGAGAGGGAGGGAGAGGGAGAGAGATCTTGCAGCAGCTGGTGCACTCCTCAGACAGCCAAGGCTGGAGTCTGGAACTCCATCCTGGTCTCCCACGTGGGTGACGGGGCCTAAGTACTTGGACTACCTTCCATTCCCTTCCCAGCAGGGGTCTGGATCAGAAGCAGGGGCAGCCGGGACTGGAACTGGCACTGGGAACTCAGGAGGGGTGGTTTAGCGCACTGCCCCGCAGTGCCGGCCCCGCTGAATTCCCGTTTTCACTGTCGAGATTAGTGAATCACGTATCTGTTCGCCCAGGGAACACTCTGTCTCTCGCACTGCACTCTGCACTACATGTGGACCTGTCTGAACACAACTGTCCTACGGTCACACGGGTCTGGGCCGGGAGGCGCCGTGCTGCACAGCTGTGAGAATCTCAAGGGAGGAACGGCTGGTGGCCCAAGATGTCCTCGCTGGTCCTCAGGGCGTACCCACCTGGCAGGAAGCACCCCAGCGGGGTCACGTTAGCCCCTACTCTGGCGGCTCAAGCCCACATCCCACCACCTGCGCCCTGCAATGTGTGTTTCTAGCCTTGCTTAGAAATGAGTGCTGGTGGCCGGCGCTGCGGCTCACTAGGCTAATCCTCTGCCTGCGGCACCAGCACACCAGGTTCTAGTCCCGGTCGGGGCGCCGGATTCTGTCCCGGTTGCCCCTCTTCCAGGCCAGCTCTCTGCTGTGGCCAGGGAGTGCAGTGGAGGATGGCCCAAGTGCTTGGGCCCTGCACCCCATGGGAGACCAGGAGAAGCACCTGGCTCCTGGCTTCGGATCAGCGCGGTGCGCCAGCCGCAGCGACCGTTGGGGGGGTGAACCAACGGCAAAGGAAGACCTTTCTCTCTGTCTCTCTCACTGTTCACTCTGCCTGTTAAAAAAAAAAAAGAAAAGAAAAAGAAAGAAATGAGTGCTGGTTCTCGCTGCAAATCTTCAGAGACTGCTGGCACGATCCAGAGCCCCACCGATCCCGTGACGTGAGCTGGCTTAGGGACCGTCCAGGCTGGCTCTTCCAAAAATCCCTTTCAAGGCCTGGGTCTTGTGGGGATCCTCATGCAGGCCACAGGACTGCTGGGCTGTGCTGTGACTCACACACTCCAGGCCACGGTGCCGGCTGTGGGCACTCCAGGTCCAGGCCGCCCAGCTCCTCTGCCCACCCCCAGCTGCCCCGGGAGCTGGGCGTTACCACCCAGTGTGCTTTCCATCAACACCTGCCTTGTGATGGAGACCACTCTGGGAAGTGGTCCTGGAGGGGCAGCAGCCCTTGGGAGACCCCAGGCCACAGTTTCCCCCCCGGCCCAGGGGAACTTGAGCCAGGAAACCGGGGGGATCTGAATCCCCCCACACATCGCGAGTTTTCAGCGGTGACCAAAACTCAACTGTCCTGGGAGGAAATCTCTTTGGCCGAAGTGCATTTTGGCGTAATTCATCTCTTGGTTTCACATTTGATAGTCACAGACTAGATCACAGACAGGCTCCCGGTCTGAGCCGCCCCCTGCAGGTGCTCCCAGATGGGGCAGCCTGAGCTTCCTGGAGCTGGCTGCCCACTTTGGGAGCGTCGGGCTCCCTGGGCTTAATTCAGAGGCTCCACCCATCCCACAGTCCAGGGGGTGACATTCACCAGCTCTCTCTCTCTCTCTCTGCCTGTGGCGGAGGCTCTTTGCCTTCTCGCAGCCGGGCGGTGCCTGCCGTGGCTGCAAGGCCGAGTTCACTCGTGGGCAGCATCCTCAGATATGCCAGGCCTCCCACTCTGGGGTGCTCGGGGCTGGGCACCCTCACGGCTGCCCACTGTGGGAGACTCAGGTGCGCCCTGGCACCCCCAGATGCAGACCTCGGCATCCCTTTGGTGTTGTGCGGGAGCTGAAGGTGTTGGCCAAGTGTCCTGAGGATTCAGAGATTCAGTCTGAGCTTGCGGTTTCCCCGTGGCAGTGTCTCGCTAATCCTGGGATCTGAGTGATGGCTTTATAGGGAGTCGTTAAACTAATCGCCGCTGTCATGTGTGCTTGAAATTTATTTGAAAGAGAGAAAAGAGAGAGAGAGAGGTCCTCTAGCTGTTGGTTCACTCTTCAGATGGCTGGGGCTGGGCCAGTCTGAAGCCAGGAGTCAGGAGCTTCATCTGGGTCTCCCATGTGGGTGGCAGTGACCCAAGCACTTGGGCCATCTGCTGCTGCTTTTCCCAGGCCATTGGCAGAGAGCTGGAGCAGCCCAGTCTTGAACCAGCTCCCATACGGGAGGCTGGCACTGCAGGTGGTGGCTTTACCCACTACTCCACAATGCCAGCCCCTGAAATTCTTACAATGAAACCTTTTAGAATGTCGTCTTGGGCCCGTTGGCAGTGTGTGTATCCCGCTTTGGGAAAACTACTCTCACCCACTCAACACAGACTTTCACTCTGACACCAGATGTGTGTGGATTTTCCTGGGCACCAAGCGTCCCCAGCAGTCCACATCTGGGCGTCCTCTAATGCACTTGGAGGCAACGCAAGAGCAGGCGGGCCCACTGTGGTTCAGAGGCACAGTGCTCTGTTTAGTCCTGGTTTCCCCAGCCGAGGGCGCTCGGAGAAGTGTTGCTGGATTGCAGGTGATGGCTTGTTCATCTTGTCCAAACCCAGACATGCAAGAAGACTGTCATTCAGGCTATTACAATGGGACAAGCACCCCCACCTGCACAAAAGCGAGGGGGACTCCCCTTAAGACTTGTACAGGGAGGGGCAGAGGGGTTACAGGCGGGGTGATGGGCGGCTGGTCTGGTTTACAATCGGGGAAGTGTTAGTTGATTAGCTGAACAGGGGATGTTCCAATCTGCGTCCAGCTAGTTTGGGGGGACAGATGGACAAACAGTTCTAATCTCAGCTAGTCAACCGAGAGACGAAGCTGGGGAGCTGAAAGGTCGGCCTGTGGCCGTGTCGGCAGGTTCAGGCGGAAGGAGACAGGCCCGTGCTCAGCTAACGAGGGGGGGTGGTGTCACCGTGAGTCTTCCTGGGAAGGCGGGACGCGGCGGACGGCGCGTCCCCTGGGTCACAGGTGGGAGGCCGCTCTCCTCCACAGCTGCTTCCCGGGACACAGAGCTGTGGGAGGACTTCCCCACTGTGGCTGTTTCCCAGTGGGAAAGCGTCCATCGGTAAAACGCTGCAGGACAGACCTATCTCAGGGACACGGAGCGAGGATTCAAGAAAACCATCGCTGGGACGCACTGAGCAGCCCCAGGCACACAGAGCACTGAGAGGCAGCAAATACAGAGAAGCACACGGCGTCCCGCTGCACAGTGACATAAGGCACTATTCGGGATGCACTTTATCTAAGAATTCACCTGAAATTTTTTTTTTTTTTTTTTTTTTTTTGACAGAGTGGACAGTGAGAGAGACAGAGAGAAAGGTCTTCCTTTGCCGTTGGTTCACCCTCCAATGGCCGCCGCTGCAGCCGGCGCACCGCGCTGATCCGATGGCAGGAGCCAGGATCCAGGTGCTTTTCCTGGTCTCCCATGGGGTGCAGGGCCCAAGCACCTGGGCCATCCTCCACTGCACTCCCTGGCCATAGCAGAGAGCTGGCCTGGAAGAGGGGCAACCGGGACAGAATCCGGCGCCCCGACCGGGACTAGAACCCGGTGTGCCGGCGCCGCAAGGTGGAGGATTAGCCTATTGAGCCACGGCGCCGGCTAGAATTCACCTGAAATTTAAAACTAGCTGCCTGTATTCTGTCTGACACCCCCTGGCACACTGTAGCATTGACAATAAACATTAACTGATATTATTATTGCCAGGGAGATTTACTTATTTAAAATTCATTTGAAAGGCAGAGCGACAGAGAGAGACAGTGATCTTCTATCGGCTGGTGCACTACCCAGATGGCTGCAGCAGCCAGGAGCTCCGTCCCATCCTCTACATGGGTGCCAGGCCCGACCACCTGCACCGTCTTCCTCTGCCTTCTTGGGCACCTTAGTAGGGAGCTCGAGCAGAAATGGAGCTGCCGGGACTCTAACTGGCCCTCCAGTTAACTGGGCCAGTTACGGGGTGCCAGTTGTCCCAGTCTGGGGGATACCTGTGTCACAGGCCGCCGCCTACCATGCTGAGCCGCAGCCTCGGCCCGCCCCAGGAAGATTTATTTTCAAGCCACGGTGCTTAGGGCAGAGGACTCACTTCCTGCCAAGCACAGCCTGGGTCAGAGGACAAGCTCGGGTTTTACGAGAGTCCTGGCAGGACTGCGGGCTGGGCAGCTGGCGGCCGAACAGCTCCGGGCTCCTTCAAAGCCAAGCTCACTACCAACTCCAAGCCCTCTCCCGGGTCTCCGGCCTCGCTGGTCTCCACCTTCTTGGGGGGAGGCATCCATGTCCACGCCCCAGGTCTCCTCCAGTCCAGAGGTGGGCGAGCAGCAGGTGCGCATCCAGGGCTGGCGAACTTCAGGTCCCAAGCGCCAAGTACAGAGAAGCGGGATAGGCACCCCGCTTTTATTTCTAAAACCAGGTCCTGGCCGTCACTTTAGTCAGGTGGCCCCGGGTCCCTCGGGGCCTCGCTCCAGAACGCGTCACTGTCCCCTCCTGGCCTGTTCCGCGCTCTCGGTCAGGGTCACGACGGCGCCCGGCGCTACCTTTTGTGGGAATGAACGACTGAACGGCGACTCCGGGGACGTGGGGACCCCCCCACCGCGCTGACCCCCGGTCGGCCCGCAGGACTGCGCATCCTCACTTCGCGGGGGCGGGGGCACCCGGCTCTCCTCCCAGGCGGCTCCGCGCCGGCCGCGCGCTGCGCCATTGGCTGCGCCGCCTCACGTGACGCCGGCTGGCGGCGGCGGTTGCCCGGGTGACGGCAGGCTAGGCGGCTGCCGGGCGGGGTCGGCGCAGATCCCGCGGCTGGGCGGCGAGGTAAGCTGGTGTCCTGGGGGGGCTGGGGGGCTGGGGGGGCCGGGCCCGGGAGCCCGACGTCCCGCTGCCGGAGGGCCGAGGCTCCGCTGGCCCCTCGCCCTGGGGCGGCTCCGCTGCTCGCGTGCTGGACGTCCAGCCTCTGACTCCCGCGAGGGCCCGCGGCGGCCGCCTGGGCATCCCAGGGGCAGGCCCGGCTGCTCCCCGCGGGTCCTCCCTGAGCTCCGCTGCAGGTGGCCCGACTTGAAGGAGGCCAGCGGCTGCCTCAGTGTCCATCAGCTGCCCAGGCGTCCCCGTGATCTGTGCACAGGCGGGGTGCAAGCCCCGCAGCCGTCCCCTGTCCGGCCACCCGGAGGCCTCTCGCCCGGCTAGTGTACCCGCGAGGGAGCTGCCATTGCCAGCCTCCAGCGGGGCTGACCAGGTTTCTCGCGTGTCTGCGTGCACAGGTGTGGCGGCATCAGTGAGACCGGCATCCCAGGTGGCTGCGGTGCGGGGTCCGACTGTGCCGGTGGTGAAAGGCAGTTGGCGCCCTGCCGCCCGGCACCTGCTGTGGGGGGCTGGAAGAGGAGAATGCAAGTGCCGGGTGCCTCTCGGGTTTGCCGGGAAGATTACGGACCGCATTCTGCACGTGCAGCAAGGCCCCGAGGACACCACACCCATTATGATACAAAGAGAAAATGCTGTAATTGCTAAGACTTCCCGGGGAATAGAGTACCCGATGGTGCCACATACTCAGGGACAGTTGGTCACAGCAGAATCCAGACTGCTCACAGGGGACTTCTCGAAGAAAGAGACATTTATTTATTAGGCGTGGGGGTGGCTGGGTAAAGAAAGGGCGGGAGAGTGTTCCAGGCAGCGACAGCGGTGCGCGCAGTGGTCCCGAGGTTGGAAGGGGCTCAGGTCCTTAAAAACAAAGTGTTTTCCTTTGACCTGTTATTGCAGGGCTTCAAAAAAATTTCTGTTCTCTCCGTTTGGGCTTTATTTCTTCTCCTGATGTCTTGGGTGCCAGTGTTGCCGACCAGACCCTCTGCTAGGTTCTGGGGACACAAAATGGAAACACAGCCCTCTGTCTCTGCAAGCAGGGTTGTAACTAAAGCAGTGGAAGCAGACGTAGGGTGCAGAGGTCCCCAGGGGAGACGGAATGGCCTTGGGGAGGATCCTGGAGGGCTTCCTGAGGGAGGTGAGGTGTGCACTAAGTTTGGTTTGAATGCTGGGGAGGTGGGGAGAGCTGAGAACCTGAGGGGCGGGGGGCAGGCCTGCTGGGAGGGGTCTGGGCTGGTGGTTGGTGCGGAGACAGGCCGGCCAGGTGGGTGTTCTCACAGCAGCTGTCCGTCCCTTGCTTGTGTGATGTCCATCGCATCTGAAGCAGTGTGCGCTCCTCCGCGTGCCAGGCCCCAGGCCAGGCACTGGGAGCGCCAGGGAACAGGGGTCCTCGCTGGAGTCCGCCTCCTGGCATGGGGAGCCCCGGCCGGGGGGGGGGGGGTGTGGGGCAGACACATGACCCAAGGGGCGTTTACACCTGCTGGTGGTCTCCGCAGCCCAGGGCTCGGGGCGGGCAGGGCCAGTCTCCCCTGGGAGGTGGCTTCAGGATGTGGGTGACTGCAGGTTCAGCGGAGTGCCAGCGATGTCTAGCAATGTCCACTGTTGGTGGCCAGTGCGGCTCGGTCTCTAGAACAGGCGGCAGAGTGAGGACCCCAAGCTGTGCTGGGCTCTGAGAACTGGGCTTCTGATCCTCACCTGGGAGGTGATGGCGCAGCAGGGGGCCCCTGCAGCGGGAGAGGGGCAGTCCCTGAGAATGCAGGGAGCACTGACGCGGAGGGGGGCCCCTGCAGCGGGGGAGGGGCAGCCCCTGAGAATGCGGGGAGCACTGACGCGGAGGGGGCCCCTGCAGCGGGGGAGGGGCAGCCCCTGAGAATGCGGGGAGCACTGACGCGGAGGGGGCCCCTGCAGCGGGGGAGGGGCAGTCCCTGAGAATGCGGGGAGCACTGACGCGGAGGGGGGCCCCTGCAGTGGGGGAGGGGCAGCCCCTGAGAATGCGGGGAGCACTGACGCGGAGGGGGGCCCCTGCAGCGGGGGAGGGGCAGTCCCTGAGAATGCGGGGAGCACTGACACGGAGGGGGGCCCCTGCAGCGGGGGAGGGGCAGCCCCTGAGAATGCGGGGAGCACTGATGCGGAGGGGGCCCCTGCAGCGGGGGAGGGGCAGCCCCTGAGAATGCGGGGAGCACTGACGCGGAGGGGGCCCCTGCAGCGGGGGGAGGGGCAGTCCCTGAGAATGCGGGGAGCACTGATACGAGGTTGGCCCCTGCAGTGGGGGAGGGTCAGTCCCTGAGAATGAGGGGGGCCCCTGCAGCGGGGGGAGGGGCAGTCCCTGAGAATGCGGGGAGCACTGACACGGAGGGGGGCCCTGCAGCGGGGAGGGGCAGCCCCCGAGAATGCGGGGAGCACTGACGCAGAGGTGGGCAGATCCTGCCCCAGGGCCGCTGGACGAGAGACAGAGGGAGCGCATGGCAGGAAGTTACCAGTTTTTTCAGAAGTTTATTTTCTGGGGCTGATGTTATGTCACACATGAGTGCGGGTTCAGGTCCCAGCTGCTCCTCTTCCCATCCAGCTCCCTGCTAATGCACCTGGGAAAGCAACAGAAGATGGCACAAGTGCTAGGACCCCGGCACCCACGTGGCAGACTGGATGGAGTTCCTGGCCCAGTCCTGGCTGTTGTGGCTGCTTGGGGGAGTGAACCCGCAGATGGGAGATCTCTCTCTCTCTCTCTCCCTCTCTCTCCTTCTCTCCCTCCCCTGTGTGTGTTTCTCCGTCTTTTTTTCTCTCCCTCCCCATCTCTGTCTCTCTTTCACTCTGTAACTCTGCCTTTCAAATAAATAAAATCTTTCTAAAAAGTTGATTTTCATTTTTATCTGAAAGCTGAGTGACGGCGTGATATATCCGTCTTCCATCTGCTGGTTTCCTCCTCAAATGCCTGCAGCAGCCAGGACTGGGCCAGGCTGAAGCCGGGAGCCAGGTTCTCAGTCTGGAAGGGCCCTAAGTGCCGGAGCCATCGCCCGCTACCTCCCAGGCTGCGTGCTAGAAGCAGTGCCAGGCCCCGGGACGTGGGATGTGGGCGTGCCGCACAGCCTGTAACCTGCCAGGATTCCTAAGATTAACTGCTGAATGAACCCCAGGCTAATCTGAATCAAACGTAGGGCAGGAGGCTGTGAGGCTGCAGCCTCGTGTGTTCTGAGAGCCAGGGGAGAAGCTGACCGGTTCTCTGTTTTGTCAGTGAAACCAGGCCCTCCGTGTCGGCGGCGTGCCTCGGCTCAGGGCCGGAGAAGAACGGTGTGGCTCCTTAGCCTCTGCACGTTTTCATGCCCCTGGTGCTGGGGGCAGCCGCGCAGTGGCCGCTCTGGGCGCCCCGGGGCGGGGCAGGCGGGGAGAGCAGCGAGGTTTGCTCTTGGCGTGGGCTGTTGCCTTGCCAGTGCTGCTGTAATGACTTGCTGTGGACTCAGTGGCTCCGAGCGGGGCCCCCACCCCCACCCCGTTTATTCTGTTCTGGGGTGGAGGGCGGAAGTTGGAACAGGGTCTCCCTGGGCTAGCAGCGCGGTGTCGCCTGGGCGCCCTGGGGGAGACTCTGTGGTTCCCTACCTTTTCTAGTGTCTGGTGCTGCCCGCCACCCTCGGCTCATGCTCCTTTCTCCATCTCCAGAGCCTGCAGTGGCCGGGAGTGCTTGTCACGTCCCGCCCGTCTCCTGCCGCCCCCCAGGATTAGCAGGCCGCCGGATGATCCAGGCCGGGGTCCGTGTTGGAGGTCAGCGGCTGGATCAGGACACGGGCCTCGCCGGGGGCTGGTACCTGCCCCCACGACAGCCGCGGTGACTCCCAGGAGTTTGGAACTGAAACTTTTGCCTGGTGTTTTTGTCTCGTAGAGACTGTGCCGTGAGACGTGCCGGGACCGGTCTACCATGGGCGATATTCTGGCTCACGAGTCGGAATTACTCGGCATAGTGAAAGAGGTGAGTGTGCTGTGCCAGATGACGTCACCGGAGAGACCCCAGGGCTTGGCTTCCGCCCGCAGCCAGTCCTCCGTGCCCTGTGCTGTGTCTCTTTCTCTGTTACACTGGGGCTGCCGTCTCTCTTCCGTGCGTTTTATATTTTGTTTTTATAACTAAGCTGAAATCTTTTTTTTTTAAGATTTATTTATTTGTTTGAAAGAGTTGAAGGAGAGGCAGAGAGGTCTTCCACCCGCTGGTTCACTCCCCGACTGGCCACAGTAGCCGGAGCTGCACCGATCTGAAGCCAGGAGCCAGCAGCTTCTTCAGGTCTCCCACGTGGGTGTCGTCTTCCAAGCACGTGGGCCATCTGCTGCTGCTTCCAGGGAGCTGGATGGGAAGTGGAGCAGCTGGAACTCGAACCGACACCCATATGGGATGCCGGCATCGCAGGCAGCAGCTTTACCCAATAGCCACAATGCTGGCCCCACTTAAAACTTTTATTTATCTATTTATTTAGATTTATATTATTTATTTGGAGGAGTTACAGAGAGAGAGAAAGAGGAAGAGAAAGAGGTCTTCTGTCCACTGGTTCACTCCCCAGATGGCTGCAACGGCTGAAGCTGTGCCGATCTGAACCAGGAGCCAGGAGCTTCTTCCGGGTCTCCCTTGAGGAAGCAGGTGCCCAAGGACTTGGGCCATCTTCTGCTGCTTTCCCAGGCCATAGCAGTGAGCTGGATCTGAAGTGGAGCAGCTGAGACGAACCTGTGCCAATATGGGATGCCAGCGGGTGGCAGCTTTACCCACTACACCACAAAGTTAGTCCTTACCGAAAGCTTTTAGAGTGGGACCCACGCCTTGGGCTGCTGGCACGAAGCGGTGGCTGGTTTACCATGTGATTGAACTGTTGGGACCTCCAGAGACATGGCAGCAGAGTGGGGCTGGGGCATTTGTGGGTATGCTGGTGAATGAATTCCTAAAGCTGTCACAGCCGAGGGTTGTGGGCTGGGCCTGGGGACACGGCCACAGCCACAGAACAGGCAGGCAGAGAGAGGTGCGACCAGCGTGGGCTGAGAAGGAGGGCAGAGAAAGGCGACCCGTGTAGCGCACGCGTTTCCAGAGGCGGGTGGTGGTGATGCCCCGTCAGAAGGGAGCTGGCAACACTGACTGTGGTTATCTATTTTTGTTTTTTAAGTTTTATTTTCCAGAGGCAGAGAGAGATACACAGAGCTTCCCACTGCTGATTCACTCCTGAAATGTACATTACAGCTGGGGCCAGGGCCAGAGCTGTGACTGAACCCAGGCACTCCAGCAGGGCACGTGGGCATCGTCACCTCTGGGTTAAGCACCCGCTCCCTGCTCCTCTGTTACTTGCTGCTCCTCCGCACGCGGAGGAGCCGCACCGGACCGGACACTTGTTGTTCCCCTTTTTTACAAGTCTTTTCTATAGTAAAGTAAGAATAAGTAAACAGCGAACTCCCAAAGCAAGAATGAGTAGAGAGAAATGAGAAAGAACGAAGCAACGAACTTCCCCGACTCAACGCACTCTCCAACCAACCCACACCACCATGCCGTCTCTCTCCTCCTATATAGTCCTCTCCACCAATCCGTGCTCTGCTACCCACACGCTGAGCACGCTGCTCTCCTCCAATCAGGAGCAGCTCCTGCAGCTTGTCAAGTTGGTGAGAGGCAGCTGGGTAGAAGCTGTTTGCTCCTCTCCCAGCGCCATATTGTGGGAGAGCAGATGCATAGAATAAGTCTTAATTCCAGTAACAGTCTAGTCCGAGTTGCTCCCCACAGTTACTGAGCTGTCTTTTCCTGGTGGCAGTGGTCGGTGCTATTTCTGACTCTGTGCCAGGTGGCGAATCCCCAGGGACCAGGCAGGCCCAAAGCCATCAGGCCTTGTGCCGGTCACTCTTGCCTTTTTCAGACTTCTACTCACAGCATTTTATTTTCTGTTATTTTCTTTTTTAAGATGTATTTATTTATTTGAAAGCATGAATCATAGAAAGAGGGAGAGACAGAGGTCTTCCAGCTGCTGGTTCCCTCCCCTGATGGCCACAGTAGCTGGAGCTGGGCCAGGCTGAAGCCGGGAGCCAGGAGCTTCATCAGTGTCTCCCGCATGGGTAGCAGGGGCCCAGACACTCAGGCCATTAGTAGGGAACTGGATCTGGTGCCAGCATGGCAGGCGGTGGCTTTACCCACGATGCCGTAACACTGGCCCCATCTGTAATTTCTGCACTGACTAGTAAATTCATAGCAGGATCCTAAATTACTCCTCCCAAAATGAAGTTCACTAACCTCATCATAAATTGGTGATAATATTTAGCTGGTACAGTTGTATCAAAGAAAGTATGTGTAGATGTTATAGCAGAAAAGTGTCTATATGTTTCCATTCCTTTTGTTTAGTTATAATTGAACAAAAATATATTCATTAAAGATGTAGAACTTGATGTATTGATATATGTGTATATTGTAAAATGATCACCACAGTCAAACTAATCCAAACAGAGATCTTCCATCTGCTGGTACATCCCCAAAGGCCCACAGTGGCTAGCACTAGGCCAGGCAGAAGCCAGGAATCCAGAGCTTAGTCTGATTTTGGTTGTCCCATGTGGATGACAGGGACCCAACAGCCAGGGTGCACATCAGCAGGAAGCTGGACTGGAAGCTGGGAGCAGGGACTGTGTGTGACAGGGCACTGATACAGGACATGGGAGGGTAGGAGCAGGGACTGTGTGTGACAGGGCACTGATACAGGACATGGGAGGGTAGGAGCAGGGACTGTGTGTGACAGGGCACTGATATAGGACATGGGAGGGTAGGAGGATGGACTGTGTGTGACACGGCACTCTGATACACTATACAGAGGGTAGGAGGATGGACTGTGTGTGACACGGCACTCTGATACACTATACAGAGGGTAGGAGGATGGACTGTGTGTGACACGGCACTCTGATACACTATACAGAGGGTAGGAGGATGGACTGTGTGTGACATGGCACTCTGATACACTATACAGAGGGTAGGAGGATGGACTGTGTGTGACACGGCACTCTGATACACTATACAGAGGGTAGGAGGATGGACTGTGTGTGACAGGGCACTCTGATATGGACACGGAGGGTAGGAGGATGGACTGTGTGACAGGGCACTCTGATACACTATACAGAGGGTAGGAGGATGGACTGTGTGTGACAGGGCACTCTGATACACTATACAGAGGGTAGGAGGATGGACTGTGTGTGACACGGCACTCTGTGGCAGGACCCGGGAGCACCAGTCAACTCCTGTAGCAGACACAGCCACAATATAAACACACCTTTCAATCCCATTGTCTACAAACTTTCTGCAATACTTCACACATACCCCCTGCATTTTTTTTTTTTTATTAATTTGTTGACAGACATTTAGATCGCTTCCATGCATTGGATGTCGTGAGCAATGCTTTGGTGAACATGGGAGTACAGGGAAGCTTTGAAACATGGACTTTATTTCCTGCTCATCCCAGAAGCAGATTGGTAGCGTTGTGTGGTAGTTGTGTGTTCAGTTTTTTGAAGAACCTGCACGGAGCTGTCCATGTTGACTGTCGCTGCTCCGTTCCCGCCCGCAGTGGCTGAGAGCCCGTGTCTCTGCCGCTGTGCTGACAGCGTCATCTTTGTCTGTCTAACAGCAGGTGTGAGGGAGCGCTCACTGTGGCTTCGCCTGGCCTTTCCCTGATGGGTAGTCGTGTGGATGCCTTTCCCCGTACCTGCTGGCCTTCTGTGTGTCTCTGGAGAAATGTCTGCGTGGGCCTTTTGCCCATCTTAAAAATGGATTATTTATTTTATTGCTGAGAAGTTGCTGATTGTGTTCTCTCTTGTAGTATTTAGACTTTGCTGAATTTGAAGACACTTTGAAGACATTTTCAAAGGAGTGCAAGATCAAAGGAAAACCGTGTAAATCAGCAGGTGGATCTGTGAGAGATTCCAAATCGTTGATAATTCAGGTAACATTTTACTTATTTTTCTCCTCTTTAAACATTTTATTTATTTATTTTCATTTTATTTGAAAGAGAGAGAAAGGGGTCTTCCATTTGCTGGTTCACTTCCCAAATACCCTCAACAGCCGGGGCTGGGCCAGGCCAAAACCAAGAGCCCAGGCCTCCGGCTGGAGCCACTGACGTGGTGCGTCCTGTTCTGCCGGTCAGGCTGTGCGGTAGCAGGAAGCTGGATTAGCAGCGGAGGCGCTGGGAGCCCAAGCAGGTACTCCGAGCAGCCACGTGGGTGTCCAGGTGGCAGCGTGACCCTGCGCCACGCACCTGCCGCTTGGTGCTTACCTGTCACTCTGTAGACGATCAAGGTGCGCCCCTTGTCAGAGCTGCGGCCGTCAGAGAATGCTGGGACTGTCCTGGGCCCTGCCCTCAGCTCCTTGAGACTGCGCAGGCATCACAGGTGGATCAGCAGCCGCGTCCTTGAGTCGCTGTCCTCGTCCGAGGGGGTGTGTGCCCCGTGACCTCGCACACCCGTTTCTTGGAAGAAGGAAGCGGGGAACATGCGTTCTGAGGGGCTGAGACCGTGTGGTTGCCATCCTGAGCAGCTGTGGTCATCACTCAGGCCCCAGGGGTAGAGCAGTGAGCGACCGGAACGAAGCAGGCCCTCTGCCTCGTGGTGCTCACGCCCTGGCGTGGGGAGGGTGGGGGCGGTGCCCAGAGTGATGCTGAGGCCGCGTCTGTTGGCTCTGGGGCACCTGCAGGCAGCAGAGGACACCGATGGCAGGGTCTCCGCCCCCAGGGTTAGACAGAGCCTCAGAGTCTTCATTCCAGCCGTCGTGGACGCCTGGCTCCCATCGGGACATTCCAGGGAGGCCATGGCTTCGCCTTGAGTGTTCACAGTGAAATACGCTGTGTCGTTGGCACTCAACAAACGACAGGTTCTGTGAGGGACGTGTGTGTGTGTGTGTGTGTGTGACCACTGTGGCATGTTTGTTCTCTCATCGGTAACAGGAGATGGTTGGTGTCTTGTGACCTCGAGGGCTGTACCAGTGGCCTGCTCTGTGTGTGGGGACCCTTTCCAGGCACAGGATGTGAGTCAGAGGTGAGGGTGATGTTGGCTGCATGTGTAATGACAGGGCAGAGGGTCGCGGTTCCACGTCTGGAAGTGGAGAAGTTAGGGCAGACTATAGATGGGCCATGTGATGTGTGGCCTCTGCCAAACTGTAAAAAAATGCCTCGACTCTGAGCTTTAAAATACCAGGAGAGCCTGCGCCACCGCCTCGTGGTTGGCGGGCCCCGCAGGGTGAGGCCCGTCCCGGTGTGGCTTGCAGCACTGCCGGCCAGCTCGCGGGCCACGGCTCGGCCGCTGGGAGGGCCCCCTCACCTTTGCGTCAGGCGGTCGTGCGCGTGTGGCACCGCTGGCCAGGGTCCCGCAGTGCCTCCCTGGCGGGGCTGTGCTCGGCCGCTTGTGCCTTGTCTGGGCAGCTCCTGCGCGGTTGCCCACGCGTGTCCTCCCCTCTCCGGGGCTGAGCAGCGGTGTTCTCACACCCGGCGGCGCTCAGCAGGGAAAACTTCTGACTGAGGAGCGTTCCCTCAGTGCGCGTTTGCACTTTACCGTGTTAACCAGCTCGGTTATTATTAAAAAGACAATTTTACAGGAAAATTGCATGCAGAACCGTTCGGAAAAGTATAGAAGGACAGTGGCCTAATAGTGGGGTGAGCGATGGCGGTGCCGGGGGTATTGGGGCAGTAGCTTCAGTGGCTGCTTGGGACGCCCACGTCCCGGGTGGCGGTGCCTGGTCTGAGTGCTGGCTGCTCCGCTTCTGATCCAGCTTCCCGCTAATGCGTGTCCTGGGAGGCAGCAGGCGATGGCTCAGGTGCCCCCACACGGGAGTCTTGGTTAGAATTCTGGGCTCGCGGCTTCAGCCTGGCCCAGCCCTGCCTGTTGCCGGCATTTGGGGAGTGACCAGCAGACAGAAGCTCTCTCTGCCCGTCTCTCTCTCCGTTATTTCTGTGTCTCTTTGCCTTTCAAATAACATGAAAATAAATGGAACTTTTAAAATTAAGAGAAAAATGAGAGTGTTGGATGGGGAATTGGTGATGCCACAGAGAATCCCGTGTGAGAGAAGCCCGTGCAAACAGGCACAGGTTGTGTGTCCGAGCGTCTTGGGCATTCCGCTGAAGCAGGACCGTCCGAGAGCTGCGTCGCGTTGTTTTGGGCTGTTAGGAGATTCTGCCTGAAGTCACATTTCTACGCGACAGCTGTAGCGACTGGCCAGTGATCATTGTCTTGTGAGGCAGGTGGGAGGAGACTGCCCCTTCTCCAGAATTCTCTCTCGCCTGTTGCGTGCTAAGTCCTGAAGCTGTCCCTGCCCACCGGCTGAGACACACGGGTTGTGGCTGGATGGCGCCGAGCCTGTGCTGCCTCCTCCACCGGCAGCAGCTGTGTCAGCGTCCGCAGGACTTCCCACAGTGCCGCAGCAGCCCAGCATGCGTCTAGCCAGGGCAGGCGGCAGCGCCCACCTCCTGGGCCCGGAGCGATGGGCTCAGGGTCTCTGAGCTCAGAGACTCCAGGGTAGGCTGTTGCCAGCTTCCCTACCTGGGAGGCGTCTTCTGGTGTGGCCCGGCCCAGTTGCGTGCCATGGGTCAGCAGGGTCAAAGGTGACTTTAGGTATTTATGTGTCCGTGAGCTCCCTCATGTCAGTGTTGGTCCCGCGGCTGATGCCTTCCATTTCAGAGGCCGTCTGTGTCTTCTCCGTGCTGCACAGTGTCCAGATCTGACACAGCAGAGGAGTGGACGGCTGGGCCGGGTCGCGGGGTGTCTGCTGTTCCGTCCCTGACCTCCAAACAGCAGCGCGTGGGTTGGGAGAACTTGGGGTGTCAGCGGGAGCATCCCTGCCGCCCGGGGCCCAGGCCGCTGTCCTCCCCACAGAAGGATCTCCTGGCGGCCTTTGACAGCGGCGACCAGAAGGTGTTCTTCCACCTGTGGGAGGAGCACGTCCCCAGCTCCGTGCGTGACGGGGACTGCGTGGCCCAGAAGCTGGAGTTCTACCTTCACATCCATTTCGCCATCTACCTCCTGAAGCACGGGCCCGGGAGACCGGTAGGTGTGCCTCGTGATGGGGGGGTCCTGGGAGACCGGTAGGTGTGCCTCGTGATGGGGGGGTCCTGGGAGACCGGCAGGTGTGCCTCGTGATGGGGTGGGGTCCCCGGGAGACCAGCAGGTGTGCCTCGTGATGGGGTGGGGTCCCCGGGAGACCAGCAGGTGTGCCTCGTGATGGGGTGGGGGTCCCCGGGAGACCGGCAGGTGTGCCTCGTGATGGGGGGGGGTCCTGGGAGACCAGCAGGTGTGCCTCGTGATGGGGGGGAGTCCCGGGAGACCGGCAGGTGTGCCTCGTGATGGGGTGGGGTCCCCGGGAGACCGGCAGGTGTGCCTCGTGATGGGGTGGGGTCCCCGGGAGACCGGCAGGTGTGCCTTGTGATGGGGTGGGGTCCCCAGGAGACCGGCAGGTGTGCCTCGTGCTGGGGTGGCGAGGGGCCGATCGGGGTTCTAGGTGAGCAGTGGGCAGGGGTGCTCGTGCTGGGGTGGCGAGGGGCCGATCGGGGTTCTAGGTGAGCAGTGGGCAGGGGTGCTCATGATTGGGGTGGCGAGGGGCCCATCGGGGTTCTAGGTGAGCATGGGGCAGGTGTGCTCGTGATGGGGTGGCGAGGGGCCCATCGGGGTTCTAGTGAGCAGTGGGCAGGTGTGCTCATGATGGGGTGGCGAGGGGCCCATCGGGTTCTAGGTGAGCAGTGGGCAGGTGTGCTCGTGATGGGGTGGCGAGGGGCCCATCGGGGTTCTAGGTGAGCAGTGGGCAGGTGTGCTCGTGATGGGGTGGCGAGGGCCCATCGGGTTTCTAGGTGAGCAGTGTGGCAGGGGTGCTCGTGCTGGGGTGGCGAGGGGCCGAATCGGGTTCTAGGTGAGCAGTGGGCAGGGGTGCTCGTGCTGGGGTGGCGAGGGGCCGATCGGGGTTCTAGGTGAGCAGTGGGCAGGGGTGCTCGTGCTGGGGTGGCGAGGGGCCGATCGGGGTTCTAGGTGAGCAGTGGCTCAGTTCTGGTGTCGCTTCCCCCATGGTGCTTACACGCTGCAGGCATCTCGCGTCCCAAGGACGGATTTCTGCCTCCTTCCCAGCAGCCGATTTTCTGATTTCTGTGGCGATTAAAGGATTTCTGCAGTCTAAGCCACACTGTTTTCCCGAATAACCTGAAGTTTCTTTAGTCGGCAACGTGGTGTTTGTGCAGGGGGCCCTCAGAGAGTGCGTGGGAAAACGGGACGAGCAGGTAGCGCTCAGTGGTCACGAGACTCTCTTGTTTGCAAATTCAAGAGACGGGAGAGGGCAGCTCCTGTCTGCTGGTTCACTCCGCAGATGCCTGCAGCCTGTGGCGGCCAGGCCTGGGCCAGGCTGAAACCAGGAGCCAGGAGCTCACATTGGCTCTCACGCGGGTGCAGGGACCTGGCTAACGGCTCAAGCCGTCACCCGCTGCCTCCCAGGGTGTGCGTTAGCAGGAAGCTGAGATCTTGAACCCGGACTCACATGTGGGACCCAGTGTCCTACGTGGGCCTCAACCCCTAGGCCAAACGCCTGCTCCTCCGTGGGCTCTGTGAGGACCCCTCGTACAGGAGAGTCTGAGACGGCGCACGCGAGTGTGTGGGCTCCAGATTAAGCCATGTGGAGAGCACAGATTGACGCCTGCGTGGTAGAACAGCAGCGCAGAGCATGTGCTGGGGCGAGAAGTTGAGCGTAGCTTCTGCAGCCTCTGCCCCAGACATGGGGCTGAGGTGTGAGGCCGCGTGGGCACAGAGGCCGTGGCAGAGAGGAAGCGGGCAGCCGACGTGGCCGCATGCGTGAGCTGCCGCCCGAGGACGGCGCTGGTCCGCTAAGCGTTGGGGAGGGGAGCTGCCCGGAAGGTGTTGCTCGTGAGGGAGGTCATCTGCGTTCTCTCTTTTTATTTCCAACATTTTTTATGCTCCCCACATGGGAGACCTGATAGGAATCCTCAGCTCCTGAGAATTTTTTTATTATTTTATTTTATTTTATTTTTTTAAAGATTTATTTATTTATTTGGAACTCAGAGTTACACAGAGAGAGAAGGAGAGGCAGAGTGAGAGTGAGAGTGAGAGAGAGAGAGAGAGAGAGAGGTCTTCCATCCACTGGTTCACTCCCTAATTGGCTGCATCGGGCAGAGCTGTGCCGATCTGAAGCCAGGAGCCAGGAGCTTCTTCCGGGTCTTCCACGCAGGTGCAGGGGCCCAAGGACTTGGGCCATCTTCCACTGCTTTCCCAGGCCATAGCAGAGAGCTGGATCAGAAGTGGAGCAGCCGGGACTCGAACCAGCGCCTGTGTGGGATGCCAGCACTGCAGGCAGTAGCTTCACCCACTACTCCACAGCACCAGCTCCCATAAGCATTTTTTTGAATTTATTTTTTAAGTGCAGTGGTCAGAGGATCACTTTTTTTTTTTTTTTTTTTAAGATTTATTTTATTTGAAAGAGTTACAGAGAGGTAGAGACAGAGAGAAAGGTCTTCCATCCGTTGGTTCGCCCCCCAAATGGCTGCTATGGCCGGCGCGCTGTGCCGATCCGAAGGCAGCAGCCAGGTGCTTCTTCCTGGTCTCCCATATGGGTGCAGGGGCCCAAGGACTTGGGCCATCCTCCACTGCTTTCCCAGGCCACAGCAGAGAGCTGTATTTGAAGAGGAGCAGCCAGGACTAGAACCAGCGCCCATATGGGATGCCGGCGCCGCAGGCGGAGGATTAACCTACTGTGCCACAGCGCCAGCTCCCCAATGTGTGTTGAGAAGAGCAGGCTTGGTGTATGGCCGGGGCTGTGAGGCTGTTGAGGCTGCGAGGCTGCGACTGGCAGAGCCAGGGTGGTGCGGGGAGGAAGGCACCAATGCTGCTCCTCTGGTTTTCTGATTGAGAGCCTGGAGGGGCGAGCAGCCCCGAGAGGGTGGTGACCTCCCTTGGGTGAAGCAGGGTGACCCCCTCAGCTTGGTAAAGGGAGGAGCAGGGACAAGGCAGCTTCTGCTTCAAAAAGCAAAACACAAAGCGTGGTCAAGGTGCACCTGCTTGGGCCGGCGTCGTGGTGTCGTGGGTAAAGCCACTGCCTGCAATGTCAGCATCCAGTGTGGGTGCCAGTTGGTGTCCTCAGTGACTGGGGCTGGGCTGAGCTGAAGCCAGGAGCCAGAACTCCATCTGTGTCTCCTGCCTGGGTGGCGGGGACCCAAGTACTTGGGCGTTAGCAGGGATGTGGGTTGGAAGCGGAGTAGCCAAGAACTGGCTCTCTGAGGTTGATTGTTGGTGTCACACGTGGCGCCTTAAAACACTGCATCATAGTGCAATGCAGCTCAAAAAAAAATTTTTTTTTTAATTTGTTTGAAAGGCAGGGATGGGCCGGTGCAGTGGCGTAGCGGGTAAAGCTGCTGCCTGCAGTGCTGTATCCCATATGGGTTCCGGTTCCAGTCCCAGCTGCTCCACTTCCTATCTAGCTCTCTGCTATGGCCTGGGAAAGCAGTAGAAGATGGCCCAAGTCCTTGGGCCCCTGCACCCGCCAAGTCCTCCCACCTGTGTGGGAGACCTAGAAGAAGCTCCTGGCTCCTGGCTTCAGACTGGCGCAGCTCCAGCTGTTGCTGCCATCGGGGCAGTGAACCAGCGGATGGAAGACTTCTCTCTCTCTCTCTCTCTCTCTCTGCCTCTCCTTCTCTCTCTGTGTAACTCTAACTTTCAAATAAGTAAATAATTCTTTAAAAAAAAAAAAAGGCAGAGAGACAGAGGTCTTCCATCTTCTGGTTCACTCCCTAAATGCCCTCAACAGCCAAGGCTGGCTGGGCCAGGCAGCAGCCACGAGTCCGGAACAGAATCCAGGGCTGCCATGTGGGGAGCTTGGACCTGAGGACTTGCGCCATCACTGCTGCCCCCTAGGGTGCACTTTAGCAGGAAGCTGGAATTGGAGCCAGAGCCAGGACTTGAACCCAGGTACCCTGCTAGGGGAGGCAGGCGTCTCAAGTGATGTCTTAACTTCTGCACCAAACGTCTGTCCTGGGTTTTGTATTAATGCCTCAGGGATGCCCAGTCCGTGTAGTTGTTTGACCACATTTCATTCTGGGGGGGAATCTGAGGTGGTGTTTGAGTGAGTGGAGACGGCGCCTGCCCGGACAGGTGGGGATGGGTCCGGTGCCTGGCTGGGACTGCAGGAGGAAGTGCGTGGAGCTGGAGACCCCAACCGTGTGTTCCGCTTCCTGCAGGACAAGCAGGAGCTGGATGAAAGGATCTCTCACTTCAGAAGCTACCTGGAGACCAGAGGGGCAGCGCTGAGCCAGACCACAGAGTTCCTCCCTTTCTACGCCCTGCCCTTCGTCCCCAACCCGATGGTCCACCCCTCGTTTAAAGACCTCTTCCAGGTAAGTGGGGCTTTGAGTCTTTTTTTTTTTTTTTTTTTTTTTGACAGGCAGAGTGGACAGTGAGAGAGAGAGACAGAGAGAAAGGTCTTCCTTTGCCGTTGGTTCACCCTCCAATGGCCGCTGTGGCCGGCGCGCTGCGGCCGGCGCACCGCGCTGATCCGATGGCAGGAGCCAGGAGCCAGGTGCTTTTCCTGGTCTCCCATGGGGTGCAGGGCCCAAGCACCTGGGCCATCCTCCACTGCACTCCCTGGCCACAGCAGAGAGCTGGCCTGGAAGAGGGGCAACCGGGACAGAATCCGGCGCCCCAACCGGGACTAGAACCCGGTGTGCCGGCGCCGCTAGGCGGAGGATTAGCCTAGTGAGCCGCGGTGCCGGCCCTTTTTTTTTTTTTAAGATTTATTTATTTGTTTGAAAGGCAGAAATATATAGAGAGAGAAGGAGAGAGAGATCTTCCGTCCACCGGTTCATTCCCTAGATGGCTACAAGGCCAGGCCAAAGCCAGGAGCGAGGAGCTTCATCTGAGTCTCCCATGTGGGTGCAGGGGCCCGAGGACATGAGCTATCTTCTGGCACTTCCCCAGGCACATTAGCAGGGAGCTGGATGGGAAGTGGAGCAGCCAGGACTTGAACCGGTACCCATATGGGATGCCGGCACCACAGGTGGAGGCTTAACCCGCCACAGCACAGCGCCGGCCGCAGCCTTTGCCTCTTCCGTCAGCCTGAGCAGCATTGTGGTTTCACCTCGTGTGCAGGTGGTCTCTGTGATGCTTTAGAAAGCTACAATTTGCATACATAGTTGTTTCTGCAGTTACAGTCCTGTTTATGTGGTCATTCTCTTGTTGCAGGGCTGGTTATGTCAGTTTGCTTTTCTGCCGTCCTGTGCTAGCGGTAGTGTGTGTGCTTGTGCATACCTGCAGGCCCGGGAAGTTTGCAGTCACACCGTACATATAGCCGTATATGTGTATATATGTCCATATAGTCCCACTGTTGGTGATAGAAAGGGCCCAATCGTAGGTCAGCAGGAGCACACGTCACAAGTGGTATCCCAGTGTGTCCTGGTCACAGTCTCCCTGTGACAGTGAATGCCATACGGCCGTGAAGATGAAGTAGCCCACACGGACAGTCTTACGTGGGCCAGGTGCGAGCCAGGGTGGGCTCTAGGAGTCCCTGTGTGTAGATCAGACACAAGTAGCCTTTGGGCGTGTGTGTACGAGTGTGACACAGTTCTGCAGGAAGCAGGGATTCTTTCCTGCTGGAGGGGCGAAGTGGTTTAAAGTTCATGGCAGAAACGGACTTCTGGGCCTGAGTTTTAACGCATGCGCTGACTCGCGTGACCAGCGCCTGCAGTCACACCGGCCCACCCCTAAGCCGCGGCACCCACCCTGACAGCGCGTTTGAAAGGACGTTCCGGTCACTTGTTTAGCAGCTTTTCCTGTGCCATAAAATACGATCTGCAGGGCTGCAGTAAGGCCTGTGAACCCAGGCTGACGTAAATATTTTTAAATACTGGCCCCGTAACTCAGTGTGTGGGTCCTTCCGTGCTGAAGGGATCGTGTGGCTGTGTGCAGAGCTTGGCTGGGCCTCACAGCCCCCAGCTCACAGGGCTGCTGTTCTGAGGTTGGCTGGGCTGGGGGTGAGTGCCTTCCTTTGTGGGAAGTGTGCTTTGTCTTCTGGCCCGGGACTCCAAACTTCCCTGCAGTGTGTCCGGGGATTGGTTTCTGTCTTCACTCGCCATCCGCTGGGCTTGCCACAGGAGAGAGCGGTCTCGCGTCTCCTCCTCTCTGCAAAGTCTTGGTTTGTGCCTCTCCGTCTGTTCCCTCTGCTTCTCTGCCTGTCTGATGAAAGGTACATTGGGCTTTCTCGGTACATCTTCCGTGTCTTTTTTTCCCCCATTGTGTTTTTAGTTGTGGTAAAAACTACATTTAACATGAAACGTAGCATTTGTGCCATTTTTCAGTGTGAAGTGTATCCCATGGTTTGCATACCATGAGTCGTTTTTTTAAATAAAGTTTTGTTTATTTGAAAGGCAGAATGGCAGAGAGTGGGAGAGAAAGGGAGAGGGAAAGAGAGAGACACACACAGACAGATAGACACGTATTCCAACTGCTGGCTCACTCCCCAGACGCCCACAACAGCGGAGGCAGGGCCGGGCCAAAACCAGGAGCCCCCACTCCATGCCTTTTTTGTTTTTTTAAAGATTTATTTGTTTCTTTGAAAGGCAGAGTTAGAGAAGGAGAGACAGAGAGAGCAAGATCTTCTATCCATTGGCTCATTTACCAGATAGCTGTGATGGCTGGAGTTGGGCCAGGCCAAAGCCAGGAGCCAGGAGCTTCTTCCAAGTCTCCCACGTGGGTGCATGGGCCCAAGGACATGGGCCATCTTCCAGTGCTTTGCCAGGCACATTAGGAGGGAGCTGGATTGGAAGTGGAGCAGCTGGGATTCGAACCAGCATCCATATAGGGATGCCTGTGCTGCAGGCAGTGGCTTACCTGCCACGCCACGGTGCCAGCCCTCTCCCTCCATGCCTTTTTTTCTTAAGATTTATTTATTTATTTGAAAGGCAGAGTTACAGAGAGACAGAGGCTGAGAGAGACAGAGAGATCTTCCTTCTACTAGTTCACTCCCCAAATGGCCACAGCAGCCAGAGCTGGGCAAATCCAAAGCCAGGAGCCAGGAGCTTCTTCCAGGTCTCCCACAAGCGTGCAGGAGCCCAAGCACTTGGGCCATTCTCTGCTGCTTTCCTAGGTCACAGCAGAGAGCTGGATCAGAAATGGAGCATCCAGGACTCAAACCGGCACCCTTATGGGATGCTGGCACTGCAGGTGGCGGCTTCGCCCACTACACCACAGTGCTGGCCCCACTCTGTGCCTTTTAATGCACACCTTTCCTACCGCTGGGTCTGTCTGTCTGTGTTCTGGGTGATTTATTCATAACTATTTTCCTGCTCGCAAATTCACCCTCCAGCTATGTTTCATCCGCTCTTTAACCTTCTCATAGAATTTGTAATTTCAGGTTTTTTTTTTTAAACAGATTCCTTTTTTTTTTTTTTTTTTTAATTCAGATTTGCTAGATCGTTTTTGTAGTCTCATTCCTGCTGTCCTTGATTTCTGTAGCGTATTACACCTTCTTTCATAGTCTCTGCTGCCTCTCACGGGGCCTTATTTCCTTTTTTCTTTCTTCTTCTACTTTTTTTTTAAGTTTTCTTAGTTTTGGTGAATGAGTTTATTTTACTCGGGACTTGAGGGATTTTTGCGTGTGACCTGAGTACAGTTTGCCCTTCTCAGGGACAGAAATCCCTAACAACACAACACGGTGTTGCCACACAGGGTCAATGAATTTAAAAACGCTTTCAAAACATAGGTTTCCTTCTCATCTGGTAGTATTCGCCCCGCCCCCCAAAATTGGTGACGGACTGGGTGGGATGATGGGGTGGGGGTGGAGGCTTGGGGAGGGGGGGCAGGGAGCAGGAGAGGAAGAGGTGGGAGGAGTGGGAAGGCCTCAGCGTGGCTGCGTTTCTGGTGGTGTGGACGCTCCTCGTGGAGCTCCCTGGTCTGGGTGGGAGGTTTATTCGTGTGACGCGCTCAGGGGTGCGGCTGCGTGCAGCCCGGTGGTGAACAAGCCCGTGTCCCACACCGGGGGCCTGCGCTTGGTTCCCGGCTCTGTTCCCGACTCCAGCTTCCCGCTGATGCACAGCTGGGGAGGCAGCAGGGCCGGCGCCAGTAGCCGAGTCCCGGCGCCACCTGTGGGCCCAGCTGCCGGCTGCCCAGCCCCTGGCCGAGCCCTGGGTGGGAGCCCTCTCTCCTCTGCCTTTAAAAAATAGACTTAAACAAACTAAAGAGCGTAAGGGACGCAGCCTTGAGGAAGACGTGTCTTCGCCTTATGTGTCAAGATCCTCGTGTGCTTCACTGGGAAGTGGGTGCTTCTTTCTCCAGCGCTATTGAGAGTTTCTTTCTCAGTGACAAGGCAGAAGCCCCTCCTGATCCCTGGCAGCGGGGCTGCTCGCCGCGGATCGCGGCTATGTCCTCTCGTTACCCAGGCGAGGTGTGTGGAATGAACCCCTTTCCTTGGGAGACGTCGAGTAGCTGGGGGGAACTGTTTGTGTTACGTGTGGCGCATGTGTGCCTGGCTGTACGGGATTATTTTTGGTATTCAGCCTGATAAGGTTACTTCTGCTTGTGTTTAAATCGCGTGGAGCATTCAAATCCTGGCCAGGGCTATTTCTGCCTTGCTAATGAACTCTTCTTCCCTCCTGTCGTGGGGCACGGATCTTCTGGTCACAGCGTCCCCAAAAGCTGGTGTCCGTGGGGTCAGCCGCTGGCGAGACCCCTAGCGTTGGGTTCAGCGTTTCTGGCAGCGTTCGGTCACCTGCGGCCGCAGCCTGCTGCCGCTGTCAGCATTGGTGATCGCGTTCTCATTCTTTTGTCTCTCTTTTTTTTTCTTTAGGATTCCTGGACTCCAGAGTTAAAGCTGAAGTTGGAAAAGTTCCTGGCTTTAATCTTCAAAGCCAACAGCACGCCCAAGCTTGTCACCATCTACGTATCCTTGCCGTGCCCACGGAGACTGCCGGTGGTGGGAGCAGGCGTTATGTGGGTGGCGCCGGCTCAGGGGGCCTCCCCAGGAGGGCTGACCGGCTGCTGGGGCTGCCTGCCTGTTCACAGGTGAAGGCGGCAGTACGGGGGGCCAGGAAGGGGCGGTGTCCCCAGCACGGAGTCCCCAAGACTTGGCGAGGGTCTGGGTTTGATGTCACAGCCTGTGCGCTGCCTTGGTGGGCGCAGTCCTGGGCATCGCTGTGCTCTGTGGGGCAGCCGCCAACCGCGTTTCAGGCCCGGGGGCCCTGGCGTGTGGATTGGGCAGACACCTAACTGTCATTCAGGTTGCAGCTTCTTTTTAAACCAGTTACTGCGGTATAATTTACATACCATAAGAATTTCCTATTGTAAGTGTATAATTCAATGATTTTTAGCAGATGTGCAGAGTTGTGCAACTATTACCATAATCCAATTCAAAATGGGGCAGTTGAGGAAAATGGATGTGTTTTAATCTATGTGAAAGGAGCAGAGAGAGAGAGATTGATCTCCCGTGAGAGAGAGAGAGGGAGAGGGAGAGAGAGGGAGAGGGAGAGAGAGAGAGAGGGAGGGAGAGAGAGAGATTGATCCCCCGAGAGAGAGAGAGAGAGAGGGAGAGAGGGAGAGAGGTTGATCCCCGTCTGCCGGTTCTCTCCCCAGAGGCCAGAGCTGCTGGGCGGGCCCGGCCCGAGCCGGGAGCCGGGAGCCCGTGTGGGTCTCCTGCAGCAGTGCACGTTCGCGGGAACAGAGCCTGGCCTTGAACCCAAGGATGCAGCACTCCCAAAGGCTGGCGGTCGCTGAAGGACGCTCGTCTCTCACTGGGAACGAGGATGCACCACAGGGTCTCGTAGCAGTCTGGGTCGGGACGTCGTGCGGTTCTGTTTACGGAAGCTGCAGGCTTCTCCGCCGCAGACGCCCCTGCGTCCTTTCCAGCGCCAGAGCCGTTGGCCGCCTGGGCCTGACTGCGCTCTTGTCCCTAGGATCCCCTGACACTGCCTCCCCACCCCCCCCCCAGCTTCCTCAGCCTGAGGGGCTCCCCACGCCCCGTCCACGTCCTCGGCCCGGCGGGGGACTGTGCACGGCAGACCCAAGTGCAGCTCCTGTGCGCCGGAATGTCCCTCAGGCTCTCGGGCAGGGACCTCCCCGTACCCACCCACCACAACGTTTGCACGATGGCTCCGCCTTCTTAGATTTCCACAAACCGGCAGTGCTTCCCAGTGAAATTACGACTTTTCGGACTTGGCTTACAATTATTTTAATATTATAACAAGCTTAAAACTTATGGGTGCCCATCTGTTAAAAACCTAAATGAGGAGCCAGCGCTGTGGCAAAACAACTTCAGCTGCCACCTGCGTCCCATGTGGGTACCGATTTGAGTCTTGGCTGCTCCACTTCCCGTCCAGCACCCTGCTAATGTGCCTGGGAAAGTGCCAGAAGGTGGCCCCAGTGCTTAGGTCCCTGCACCCACGGTGAGAGACCTGCATGAAGCTCCTGGCTGCTGGCTTTGGCCTGACCCAGCCCCGGGCATTGCCACCACTTGGGGAGTGAACCAGCGGATGGAAGGTCCCTCTCCCTGTCCCTGTCCCTGTCCCTCTCCCCCTCCCACTCCCTCTCCCTCTCCCTCTCCCTTTCCCCCTTTCAAATAAAGAAAAATCTTTAAAAAAAGAAAACAGAAAGAGGCACCTAAATGTAAGTAAAGAATCTGAACAAAATGGTTTCTATGGTAGATGGTTTAATCACATTGGTAACAGAACAGCATATTAGAACTGGAACCCCGGCTGTGGGGAGAGGGTGAACATTAGGGTTAGACGTGGACTTGCTTGCAGCGCTTGCTGCCTGCGAGCTTGGTGTTCGGGTTTTAGGGCTCCGCACCTTTCCTCCTGGTCAGGGAGCTGAAGCAGTCCCCTTTGCCTTCCTTGGCGTGTGGACGTCTCTGCAGTTCGGTTCAGCACATGAAGCTTCTCTGGGATGAATCTTGTGCTGGGGAATGAGGATGCAAAGGACAGCCAAGGCCCAGTAGCCTTAGCTGGGTTGGGGTGTGGAGAGTAGAATGGGAATGTGCGAGGCAGACCGAGTGAGGGCTGGGAGGACCAGGTAGGAGGAGCGGCCTGCGTAAAGGCGCTGAGACAGTGTTCGGGCAGCGCTGAAGAATGGGATGTGGCTGGAGCAGAAGGCTCGGCACGGAGCCGGAGGCCTTGGCGGTTACCAGGGTTTGTGAGAGCAGCAGGAGGCTTGAGAGCATTTTAAGCAGAATGACATGGCTGTATTGACCCCCAAAATTCCTTTTTTAAATTCCTGACTATAAGTTGATCATATTTCTTATAGAAAATCTGCAAAGCACAAAAATGAATTTATTTTTATACACCACCCCAAAGCATGCAGTGTTTATGATAGACATAGATGTGTACATGTAAGTGTAGATTTCAGAATGTTTTTATCAAACGACGAGAGCATTTCCACGTATCATTCCATAGTCTTCACAAACTGTCGTCTTGAGTTGCCTGAGAAGGTAACTTGCCACGTGACCTGACAGTTCCGTCAGCTACGCCCCGAGAGAAGTGACACCTGCCTACACAGGTCACACGTCAGGTGCACAGCAGTGTTCTTCCTCATAGCCCGAGAGCACCACCCCCCGGGTGTGTGCCCCGTGGTGGTGGGTAAGCAAAACGTGGTCTTTCTGCACAGCCGGTTACTTGCCCGTAAAGAGAAATGAAGAACTGATTCGTGCTTGGCGTACGTGCACTCCGTGAACGTGTGCTAAGTGAGAAGAGCCAGACCGCAGAGGCCACACGGCGCGTGATTCCATCTGTGTGAAGAGCCCAGCAGGGGTGGATCTTCCAGCTTTGTCTGAACAGGGGCAGAGTTGGATCAGGGCTGCCAGGGCTGGAGGAAGGGGAGTAAGATCAGCGGTGCGTGGCTTCTCTGGGGGATGGTGAAAATGTTGTGGAAGCGATTACAGTGACGTTGCACAACTCTGACCACACTGAAAACCATTGAAGTGTCTACTTGAAGTAAATTGTGCTGTGTGTGAATCCAGCCAATCCCAGTGAATCAGGAAAACTTGAGATAAGGTCAAGAAAACCACTTAAAACATTGGCCTCCGACTGTGCAGCCAGACACGGGCTGAGGTTTGAACCCAGGCGGCCGGCTGCAGGGCCCGCGGTCCTGGCTGCTATGCTGTGCCGTGTTGGTCCCATCTGTTTGCTCAGGACAAAGCTTTAGAAGTGGAGTTCCAGTGCTCAGAGGTGTGGCTGCAGATTTGCAGTGGCGGAGCATTTTGGTCGTAGTGGGGAAGGCCGGTTGGAGGCTTGAAACGATGCAGAGCTTGGGCTTAACGCTTAGAATTGAGAGGGAGGAAGAGGGTTTGCTTGGGCCGGAGTCTGCCCAGCCTCGGGAAGTCACTCAGAAGAGCAGCCCGTGGAAGTCCTGGTTGCCGGGCTGAAGTGCTTTCTCAAGTTGGCCGGCCACACGATGTCAGATACACCCTGCATCCTGCGTCCTGACGCCTGTTTTCCTGAACTCCCCCTCATCCCAGCAGGAGAACGGACAAAGCAACAAAGGTGTGTCACCTGGGTTGAAAGCTCTGTGACAGCAACTTTGCCTACTGGAGTTTAGGTCGGGAGCGTAGGACGGGGGTGGAGAGAATCGTGGACTTGCTGAGTGAGGGCTGTCCGAGGCCGTCTATTGATGAAGTGCTTTGCAATCGTATTTATCCACAATTTCTTGTGGCCCACTTTTCAGGATGGCTACTATGAGGATACTTCAAAAAGTGTGTGTGGAGTCCAGTGTTGTAGCTCAGTGGGTTAAACCACCGGCTGCCACACCAGCAGCCCATCTGCGCACTGGCTGGAGTCCCGGCTGCTCCACTTCTGGTCCAGCTCCCTGTTAATGCCCCTGGGAAAGCAGTGGAAGGTGGCCCAGGCCCGTAGGCCCTTGCACCCATGTAGGAGACCCGAATAGAGTTCCAGGATCTGGCTTCAGCTTCGCCCAGGCCTGGCTGTTGTAGCCTTTTGGGAGTGAACCTGCAGATGGAAGATCTCTCTCTTTCTCTGTCTCTTCCTCTGTAATCCTGTCTTTCAAATAAGTAAATAAGTCTTCAAAAAAAAAAAAAAAAAGTTTGTGGAAAAATATGTTTATTTTGAATAATTGAAATAATTGAAATCCATATATCACTTTTTCAGAATACTCGTTTTCTGTGAATGTTTTGAAGAATCCTTGTATGCATGGATTTAAAAAAAAATTGTGCTAAGATAAATTATCTTCTAATTCCACTTCTGTGGACTTTTGACATACCCTAGTGTCGTTAGCTTCGTATCAGATAACCGTCACGGAGAAGCTAGGGCGTCCAGGTGATGTGCCAAAGGCAGGTAACTCTGGCAGCCCGGTCGGAGACAGGGTACGGCACCTGTGTGAGGTGTCTGTAACTTTTACCTTGAACTCGTCCAGTGGGGTCTTACCACGGTAGCAGCATGGGGTACCCGGTTGTTCTAGTCCCTTTTCTGTGGCTCTATGTGAATTCCATAGCCTGAGTGATTTCTAAAGAACAGAGGTTCATTTGGCTTATGGTTCTGGAGGCCCAAGGTTGCGGGGCCACATTTGGGGAGGGTCTGCTTGCTGGCGGGGACTCTGCAGGATCCTGAGGCGGCGCGGGGCACCCCATGGCACGAGGGGTGCACGTGAGAGACGGGGCCAGACTGCCTTTCGTGAGGGCCCCCGCCAAGGCGCTCATCAGCCCGGGGTGGGGCTCTCATGGGTGAGACCCTCCTGCTCAGCTCCGAGGGCCCGTCTGCTCTCATCTCAAACCTCACACTGGGGATCCAGTTTCAACATAAATTGTGGTGGGGGACATTCATTCAGACCATGACACCATTTTTTTTTAATAATTTTAATAATTTATTTGAAAGAGTGACAGAGATCTTCCACCTGCTGGCTCACCCCCCAATGGCTGTGATAGCTAGGCCAGGCCGGGCCCACCAGGAGCCTGGAGCTCCGTCCAGGTCCCCCATGTGAGTGGCAGGGACCCACGCACTTGAGCCGTGATCTGCTTCCCCAGGTGGATCGGCAGGAGCTGGATCAGAAGTGGAGCTGCTGGGGCTCCAGACAGCGCTCAGATGGCATGGAATGCCGACCTCACAGGCAGCGGCTTCACCCACTGCACCCACACACTGAACGCAGTGTGCTGTCAGGAGCCAACTGTAGGCTGGCACCGCGGCTCACTAGGCTAATCCTCCACCTTGCGGCACCAGCACACCGGGTTCTAGTCCCGGTCGGGGCGCCGGATTCTGTCCCGGTTGCCCCTCTTCCAGGCCAGCTCTCTGCTGTGGCCCGGGAGTGCAGTGGAGGATGGCCCAGGTGCTTGGGCCCTGCACCCCATGGGAGACCTGGAGAAGCACCTGGGTCCTGCCTTCAGATCAGCGCGGTGCACCGGCCGCAGCGTGCCAGCCACGGGCGGCCATTGGAGGGTGAACCAACGGCAAAGGAAGACCTTTCTCTGTCTCTCTCTCTCACTGTCCACTCTGCCTGTCAAAAAAAAAAAAAAAAAAACAAAAAAAAAAAAACAACAAAAGAAGCCAACTGTGTCTCTGACGAGTGGCCCAGATCGATGTGGGAGGGCGTGTGCGGAGAAGAGCCCGTGTCTGGGGGTGGAATTTCAGTGAGGGGACCACAGTTTTCAAGCCTTCATTAGGTTCAGTTTTCACTGGGCTTCCTGGAGGTGACCCAGCAGAATGTCCACGAGCTGAGCCTGGCAGGCTCTGTGTGTCTGGCTCGGTGCCCCTGCACTGCACCCTTTCTTTTAATTGTCACGGAGATCAGAGATTAGTGGTAGTCCCCACTGAGTAGCAGGGCAGCCAGTTGTCACCCCTTGTCCCCTCCTCACAGTGGTCATCGCAGACATGCCCCAGTTTAATTCTTCATACGGGTGTTTTTTTTTTTTTCCCCTTAAAATTTATTTATTTATTTATTTGAAAGAGTTACACAGAGAGAGGAGAGGCAGAGAGAGAGAGGTCTTCCATCTGCTGGTTCACTCCCCAGATGGCCACAATGGCCAGAGCTGTGCTGTCCGAAGCCAGGAGCCAGGAGCTTCTCCTAGGTCTCCCACGCCAGTGCAGGAACCCAAGGACTTAGGCCATCTTCCACTGCATTCTCAGGCCATAGCAGAGAGCTGGATTGGAAGTGGAGCAGCCGGGACTCGAACTGGCACTCATATGGGATGCCAGCACTGCAGGCGGTGGCTTTACCTGCTATGTCCCATGGGTGTTGTTTTTAAATGAACTGGGTGGGTGAAATCATTATTCTGGGTTTTATTAGGAAGGTTTCATGAGTAGATGGAGATTTTCCCATAAATTTTTAAAGAAGGCAAGAAAAGTGCTTGCATAAAATTCTCCCAAAAGGAATTGCTTTAACAAATGGTATTAGAATGAAAACTTAGGTAGGCAGCATGGCACTCTGAATTGTTACTTTTCCCTACCCATTAAAGAGATACGGAAGTATCTTCTGGCGTTAACTGATCCATTATTTCTGGAGTAGGATCCTGAAGCAATGTATTTTAGAATGATGACCTATGTTTTTTGTGTGTGTGTGTGTTTTTGTTGTGTTTTTTTTTTTTTTTTTTTTTTGACAGGCAGAGTGGACAGTGAGAGAGAGAGACAGAGAGAAAGGTCTTCCTTTGCCATTGGGTCACCCTCCAATGGCTGCCACAGCCGGTGTGCTGCGGCTGGTGCACCGCGCTGATCCGATGGCAGGAGCCAGGTACTTATCCTGGTCTCCCATGGGGTGCAGGGCCCAAGCACTTGGGCCATCCTCCACTGCACTCCCTGGCCACAGCAGAGAGCTGGCCTGGAAGAGGGGCAACCGGGACAGAATCCAGCGCCCTGACCGGGACTAGAACCCGGTATGCCGGCGCCGCAAGGCGGAGGATTAGCCTAGTGAGCCGCGGCGCTGGCTGACCTATGTTCTTAATAATTACTTTTTCATCCTTAATTTGTGGGTTAGCAACATAGCAGAGGTCACTTCTGTCTGAATACGAAGAGGAAAGAATAGGTCATTACAGAGCGAGTGATGGTAGGTTTTTATATTAGGTTAGAAGAACAGTCCCATATTTAAAATTGGTCATTTTATCTTGAGCAGCCAAGGGGTTTGTAAAATTAAAGTCTCATTTACTCAGAAAAAAAAAAAAGACAGTAAAGACAGTGTCCCTAAATGCAGAAGAAAAGTAAAAGGAAAGGGCGGGGCTTCGTTGGGCAGCACCGCATCCTGTACTGGCGTGCTAGGCTGAGCTCTCACCCAGCTCGTGTTAATGCCCCGGGAGGCAGCAGAAGGTGGCCCGGGTGCTTGGGCCCCTGCCGCCCATGTGGGAGACCTGGGTGAAGCTCCTGGCTCCTGGCTTCAGCCTGGCCCAGACCTGGCTGTTGTGGCTGCTTCAGGGGTGAGCCAGTGAGTGGAAGATCTCTCTCTCTCTCTCTCTCTCTCTCTCTGTCCTCTCTCTCTCTCTGTCCTCTCTCTCTCTCTGTCACTGTGCCTTTTAACAGGTAAGAAAACCTTAAAAAATAATGAAAAAAGAGTTCAGGTCCTGTTTGTAGCTGCCCAAGACACCGTAAGGTGAGGTCTCTAGTTAGGAGCTGTGCCTGGGCCAGGTGGTGTGTTTGGAAATGACCACTCACCTGCAAGGCAGGATCCTGTATGGGCGCCAGTTCAAGTCCCGGCTGCTCCACTTCCAATCCAGCTCTCGGCTATGGCCTAGGAAAGCAGTGGAAGATGGCCCAAGTGCTTGGGCCCCTGCACCTTCTCATTCCCAGAGGCTCGGGCGGGTAGGTGGCTTTTCCCTCAGTTGTGCCACACTTTGAACTTGTCACAAATTCTAGTTCTCCTTTTCCAAGGCAGAAGTCCCCCGGATACTCCCTTAGGTATAGCCAGTTGCTCAATGAGATTCTGTTGCTATTATGAAATGCCGGAAACAACTAACTTAGAAGAGAAGAGGTTCAGTTACCATTCTGGAGGTGCAGGTCTGATATGGGGAGCCCCCTTGGCCTGGTCTCTGCGCAGGATCTAGCCTGTGCCCGGGAGCCGAGGTAGGTGGAGCCAAGCCCAGGCCTTGCACACCCTGCTTTCTGACGATGTGGCCGAAGGACTTGCCGCTAGACCTCCCTCCTAGAGTCTCACCTCCCAGTAACACCACTCGGGACCAAGCCTTCACACGTGTAAAAGAAGTTTGTTCATTCATTCATGAATATGAGGCGGAGCTCCCATGCGCTGGTTCACTCCCCTGATGTGTGCAGGAGCAGGGTCTGGGCCAGGCTGGAGCTCGAAGCCAGGAACGCAGGCCAGGGCTCCCCCGTGGGCGGCAGGAGCCAGTCACTTGAGCCATCACTGCTGCCCCCAAGGTCCGCATCGGCAGGAAGCTGGGACCAAGCCTTTAACACGGGGGCTCTTAGGGACACCCGGGCCCTACCCAGATCAGCCCGCTCCTGAAGGAAGAGTTCCTCTGTGCAGCCCCTCTGTCGTGTTGGTGACTGGGGAGGTCACTGGCCGTTGGTACATATAGAGAAAGCACCGATGTTCTCTAATATTTAATACGAGAGTGTGGGATTATGAACGATATTCTACAGACTTTCCATCTTTGGATGTCTCAATGTATGTCATTTTGAATTCTGCATGTAGGACAAACACTGATAGTAGTGTAGATTTAATATATGGTAAGAGTCAGAGGAAGGTCGTGGGCCCCTGTCCTCATGGCGTTTAAGAAGCAGCATTCCCAGAGATGTCTTCCAGGGCTTCCAGTCCCGGGTGTAATGTCTTTTTTTTTTTTTTTTTTTTTTACAGGCAGAGTTAGACAGTGTGTGAGAGAGACAGAGCGAAAGGTCTTCCTTTGCTGTTGGTTCACCCCCCAAGTGGCCGCTACGGCCCGAAGCCAGGAGCCAGGTGCTTTCTGGTCTCCCATGTGGGTGCAGGACCCAAGGACCTGGGCCATCCTCCACTGCACTCCTGGGCCATAGCAGAGAGCTGGCCTGGAAGAGGGGCAACCGGGACAGAATCTGCCGCCCCAACCGGGACTAGAACCCGGAGTACCGGTGCTGCAGGCGGAGGATTAGCCAAATGAGCTGTGGCGCCAGCCTCGGGTGTAATGTCTTAAAGTGACTTTAATCCTGAGGCCACCCCGTCAGGGTGCTGAACAATAACAGTGATTATGATAGTGATGATAAAAGTTCTTTATTATGTGATATTTTGGGTTTCGTGGTTAAAGATTTTTCTTCTGCACAGAAACATGAAAAGGTTTTGTCGCTCCCCCCTCTTCGTGGAGGAACGACACAGGACCCTGCGCTGTTCTTTCGTCTGCTCGGCCCTCCCCGGGTTTGCTGCTGGTTCTTCCCGGGTTGGCTACTATCCCTTCCACCTCCGTGGAAGGGCAGTTCCCCCTGCCACATTCCCCACTTCCGCAGGGGAGCGGCACACCGCCGGCCGGCTCTCTGGGGGGCTGCACAGGTGTTCCTTCAGATAGATGTTCCTCTTAGATGTTCCTGGTGCATGTTGTCTCTCTCCTCCTTTATAGTCCTCCTCTGCCAATCCCAACTCGGCTGCCCACACGCCGAGTACGCTGCTCTCCTCCAATCAGTAGCAAGTCCTACAGTTTATTGGTTGAACTGGAGGCAGCTGTGCGGAAGCTGTTTACTTCTCTCCCAGCGCCATATTGTGGGAGAGCAGATGCATAGAATAAGTCTTAATTCCAGTAACTTAGTCCAGTCCGGATTGCTCCCCACAGGTTTGAAATGCAGTTTGCATGTGGTGGCCTTTCTGCTGTTGGGGACGCAAGTTAGGGCGGACAGTGGGTCTCACCCTCGGGCGTGCATCAGTGCCCTCTGGGCGGTTTATTGAAAGTAGAGGTTCTCCGGGCTGGCACTGTGGCATAGTGGTAAAGCCACCACCTGCAAGGCAGGATCCTGTATGGGCGCCAGTTCAAGTCCCGGCTGCTCCACTTCCAATCCAGCTCTCGGCTATGGCCTAGGAAAGCAGTAGAAATGGCCCAAGTCTTTGTGCCCCTGCACCCGCGTGGGAGACCTGGAAGAAGCTCCTGGCTCCTGGTTCTGGATCAGCTCAGCTCCAGCTGTTGCGGCCATTTGTGGAGTGAACCAGCGAATGGAAGACCTCTCTCTTAGCCAGGATATGAACTGGTGCCCATAGGGGATGCCGGCACCGCAGGCGGCAGCTTACCCGCTCCGCCCCAGCGCCGGCCCCACAGGAGGCTCTAATTCCACTTAGAACGAACTGGCCTGCACCAGGCTCAGTGCGAAAACTGAGAAAGACACGGGTCTGTGGTCCAACCATTCTATGAGCCGAGCGTAGAAATCAGCGTTCATTTTGCTTGGACATTTCCTGGGGCTCAGTGCAGGAAGCAGGCTTGGCAGAGAGCCGGCAGTGATTGGGTAGCGCGTCACAGGCAAGTCGGTTTGCCTCAGGGGCCTTGTCTGAAGGCGGCTGAAGTGGAAGTTAGGTGTTGAGCACCAGGAGTGTCCGTGTCCTTGGGAACAGCAGGTGCGGCGACCGGAGGCCCGCTGAGCCCTGGAGAAGAGCGCAGCTGTGACTCTCTGGGCTCTGTTGCTGTCCTCTCGGTTTGTTTTATGTAACCTGTCTCCCTAGAAGTGTTGCAGCAGCTGCACCAGCAGCTGGTGGAAGCCGAGCGCCGGTCAATGACGTACCTGAAGCGGTACAATAAGATCCAGGCCGACTACCACAATCTCATCGGAGTCACGGCGGAGCTGGTGGATTCCCTGGAGGCCACAGTCAGTGGCAAGATGGTAAGAAAGACCCCAAATTGTGTCTGTCTGTCTGGGTGTGGTCACTCCTGGGTTCCCCTAGTTTTCTTTTAGTACTAATATGTTTTTGTTTTTATCTACTTAGAAGGCAGAGAGACAGAGAAAAACGGAGATTTTTCCATCTGCTAGTTCACTTCCCGAAAGCCTGCAACAGCCAGGACTGGGCCGTACTAGAACTAGGAGCCCAGGACTGGGCCGTACTAGGACTAGGAGCCCAGGACTGAGCCATACTAGGACTAGGAGCCCAGGACTGGGCCGTACTAGAACTAGGAGCCCAGGACTGGGCCGTACTAGGACTAGGAGCCCAGGACTGGCTGTACTAGAACTAGGAGCCCAGGACTGGGCCGTACTAGGACTAGGAGCCCAGGACTGAGCCGTACTAGGAATAGGAGCCAGGACTGGGCTGTACTAGAACTAGGAGCCAGGACTGGGCCTAGTACTAGAACTAGGAGCCCAGGACTGGGCTGTACTAGGAATAGGAGCCCAGGACTGGGCTGTACTAGAACTAGGAGCCCAGGACTGGGCCGTACTAGAACTAGGAGCCCAGGACTGGGCCTAGTACTAGAACTAGGAGCCCAGGACTGGGCCGTACTAGGACTAGGAGCCCAGGACTGGGCCGTACTAGAACTAGGAGCCCAGGACTGGGCCTTACTAGAACTAGGAGCCAGGACTGGGCCTAGTACTAGGACTAGGAGCCCAGGACTGGGCCGTACTAGAACTAGGAGCCCAGGACTGGGCCTTACTAGAACTAGGAGCCAGGACTGGGCCTAGTACTAGGACTAGGAGCCAGGACTGAGCCGTACTAGAACTAGGAGCCCAGGACTGGGCCGTACTAGGACTAGGAGCCCAGGACTGGGCCGTACTAGGACTAGGAGCCCAGGACTGGGCCTAGGACTAGGACTAGGAGCCCAGGACTGGGCCGTACTAGAACTAGGGGCCCAAAACTGGGCCTAGGACTAGGACTAGGAGCCCAGAACTGGGCCTAGGACTAGGACTAGGAGCCCAGGATCCAATCCAGGTTTCCTACACCTTGACGGCAACGTGAGTCATTGTCTGCTGCCTCCCAGGTGGACGTTAGCAGGAGACTGGAGTGGGAAGCAGAGGCAGGACTTGAACCCAGGCGCTCTGAGGTGGTTCAGGGCCATCTGAACCAGTGGGCTAACCATCCCTGTACCTTAGTCTTCATGTCAGCAAGGAAGAAGTCATCTGGCAACAGTCAAGAAAATCGCGTGGGTGCGAGGAAGTGAGGGAGAAGAGCCCTGGCCTGTGGGATGAGCACTGACCATCATGCCCTGGTCTGTGTCCTGCTGCCTTCCTGAAGCCTGCTAAGCTCAGAGTTTTTGATCGGTTCTCCCGTATTCTAGATCTGCCAGTCATGGTGTTTAGTGGCACGTTTGGGTCTTCTCGTTTCTCCTGACGTCTGTCATCAAGACCTGTGGGACACTGCTGTCATGTGATCGCGGGCATCTCCGTCTCCTTCCTGACTTTATGGACTTCTGTGTTTCACTAAAAAAACACGAGAAAGTGCAATAAGATCTCTTTGTGGAGATAGGAATTTTCAGCACTGGGGCAGGAGTCGTGAGATGCGCCTCCACGCAGCCGGGGGGGGGGGGGCAGGGTGAAGCCAGGTGTGTCCCTGGCAGGTGCAGTCGTGAGCAGGCCGTCAGGGTGAGCTTGGCTTGAAAGAGATGAGGGAACTAGTTATGCAGTCCTCAGAGAGAAGAGAGTTCTGGACCAGAGGTGCAGCCCGTGCAGAGGGCTCCGTGTGTGTGTGTGGCGCCTGGGCTGGTGAGGGAGGGAGGAGGTGGCGTGAGGCAGAGTGAGGCCGCTGGAAGCCTGGGGCATGATGCAGGGCGAGGTCTGACAGCTGTGACAGCGCCACCCGACCACTGCTGCAGAGCCTCCTACAGCCCTGTCCAGTGCTGTATTCTGAGCCCCCCAGGCCGCTGCTCCCAGGAGCAGTGTGGAGGCAGGGACCGTCACCGACAGGAGGCCTGGTGACCAGGGCGGTGTTGGGGGGTCCTGAGTGAGGCAGGAGAGGTGCCTCCTGGATGTAGATGCGCTTGCAGCCGGCAGCGGCCAGGCCGACTCCTGGGGTTTGGCCTTCGGCGCTGGAAAGGTGGCCTCGCCACCAGCTGAGACAGGAGGGCCCTGGGCTGGAGGGAGTTTGTTGGAAACTGAGAATTCAGTTTTATTATTTCTTTAAGTTAGTTTGTATGAAAGGTGGAGCAACAGAGAGAAAGGGGGAGATTGATTCGGCATCTGTCGAGTCACTCCCCAAATGGCCACAAATCTGGGGCTGGACCAGGACAAAGGCAGGAACCAGGAACTCCATCCGTATTTCCTACATGGCTGGCAGGATCCTAAGTACTTGACCATCATCCCCTGCCTCCCAGGCGCATGAGCAGGGAGCTGGATCAGAGGGAGAGTCGGGACTCCATCCCAGACAAGCCAGTGTGGGATTCAGGCACCCTAAACATCAGCTTAGCCCGCCATGCCACAGCAGCCGCCCCACGTAGCTTTTTACTGGAATGGATTTTTGCTGTTCTGTCCGGTGCCAAAGGCCTCTGGGCTCTTGTGGAAGCACGGCACATGAAGCTGCCACACCTTGGTGGCTGTGGCCGGGTGGCCGGAGCGTGAGCTCGTGGCTGAGAGCTGCAAGGTGACGCGGGGAAGGTGGAGAGGTAAAGATCAGGGCTCTGCAGGCCGTGCTGAGGGTCTGTGCCTTATCCTGTAGTTTGTGGAAGCCACTCAAATGTGTGATTTATTTATTTATTTGACAGAGTTACAGACAGTGAGAGAGAGACAGAGAGAAAGGTCTTCCTTCCCTTGGTTCACTCCCCAAATAGCCACCTCGGCCGGAGCTATGCTGATCCGAAGCCAGGAGCCAGGTGCTTCCTCCTGGTCTCCCATGCGGGTGCAGGGCCCAAGGACCTGGGCCATCCTCCACTGCCTTCCTGGGCCACAGCAGAGAGCTGGCCTGGAAGAGGAGTATCCCGGACTAGAACCTGCGCCCATATGGGATGCTGGCGCCACAAGCAGAGGATTAACCTAGTGAGCCACGGCGCCGGCCCCAAAATGTGTGTTTTAAACGTTAGAATTTTAAAGTGATGAGTTTTAAGAAAATTTTTTAAAATAGCACATTTTAACTTTTCTTTAAGACAGAAAAGTACCAGAAATAAAACAAAAAATGGCTCAGTAACCCAAAAAAGAATATTCATTGAGTTAGAGAATTCGAAGTGTGTAGACGGAACTGAAAAGTGGGCACCTTCTTTTTGCCCTCTCTTCTGTTAGAGTAACTGCTGCCACGCTGGCGTGTGCCTCTCGGAGCCCAGCTGCTGTGGCCCCATCCGCATGGGCTCCTGCTGGAGTCTGGGAGCAGAGACGGGTTTGCAGGAACGCGCGGCAGGGCTGTGACGAGGCCCCAGGTGTCACGACGGGCAAAGCCTTGAGGCTGGCTCCTCTGGCTCGACTTCAGAGTAAAGACACATGTGTTCGTGGCAGAAAGAGATCTCAGGCCTGGTGCTCTGTCCGCCGTGTGACGGCCCCTGTTGCTTAAATGAACAGAAGTGGCTTGAAATCCGTTCATTGTGTGCAGGATGGTGGAAAACGATCAGGTGGGGTTGCGTCATTTGAACTGTGACAGCAGTGATGACACACGCGGGGTGCCAACAGCGTTTCCTGGCTGGTCCATGGTTAACTCCGCCCCAGCGCTCCCCTTTCAGGCCAGCCCTTTGCCAGCGCGTCACGGCGTCACCGCGCTGTCGCGGCAGCGCAGGGCGGCAGCCATCAGGCGTCCCTCTCACCCGCTGCGCTCGTGTCCTTGCAGATCACCCCCGAGTACCTGCAGAGCGTGTGCGTGCGCCTCTTCAGTAACCAGATGCGGCAGAGCCTGGCACACAGCGTGGACTTCACGAGGCCTGGGACGGTGAGGCTCTGTGCTCAGAGTGGGGGCCTCTGCTCCGCCCCCCTAATTTATAAAGGAAAATGAAAGGAAGTGTGAAAGTAGCCTTCAAGAAGCTGCATATCAATGGGCTTTTTTTTTTTAAAGATTTATTTATTTAAGATTTATTTTTGGGGGCCAGCTCTGTGGTATAGCAGATTAAGCTGCCATCTGCAGTGCCTGCATCCCATATGGGTGCCAGTTTGGGTCCCAGCTGCTCTGCTTCTGATCCAGCTCCCTGCAATGCACCTGGGAAAGCAGAAGAGGATGGCCCCAGTGCCTGGGCCCCGCACCCACATGGGAGACCCAGATGGAGCTCCAGGCTCCAGCCCGGCCCAGCCCTGGCCGTTGCAGCCATGTGGGAGTGAATCAGTGGATGGAGGATCTCTCTCTCTCTCTCCCTCACTCTCTTTAAAAATATATATTTATTTATTCGTATGAGAGACTCATAGAGATGGAGAGACAAAGAGAGAGAAATGTTCTATCCATTGATTCACTCCCCAGATACCCACAAGGGTCAGGGCTGGCCAGGGTGGAGCCAGGAGTCAGGAACTCCATCCGGGTCTCCCACATGGGGAACAGGGACCTTAGTACTTGGCCATGATCTGTGCCTTCCCAGGTGCATTAACAGGGAGCTGAATTGGAAGCCGGGCTGCAGAATCGAACACGCTCATCTGGGATGCGGCTTTGCAGGCGGTGGCTTCACCACTGTGCCATGACGCAGGCCCTCAGCTGACCTGGAGGTTTAGAAACTCCCAGAAGGAAGAGAAAGCTGTTTGGAAGGGGGTGCCTGTGGGACAGCCCCCTGGTGGCGGTGAGGGAGAGGCGGCTTCTGTGCAGCCCAGCACAGCTGCTCCATGGCGGGCACCACGAGCCGGGAGCGGTGGGAACGAGGAGGCCTGGATCTCTCAGAGCAGCTGTGCTGGAAGCCGTGGGGGCCTGGGCCCGGCTCGTTTGGTTAAATTTGTCCCTGAAATCATCGCAGACTCACGGAGAAGGTCAAGAGCAGCACAAAGGCCCCTGTATGCCCTTTTCCCGCGTCACCAATTCAGTGTTTACCCTGTTGTTTGTTTACTCTCTCCTCTCCCTCTCTCCCTCCCTCCCTCCCTCTCCTTCTCTCCCTCTCTCCCTCTCTCGCTCTCTCCCGCTCTCCCTCTCCCCCTCTCCCCCCACCCCCAGTCTGATTTCTGAACCAGGTGAGTATCAGCCTTACATAGCACAGCGTTTATTCCTGAATACTTGAGTGTGTGTGAGTCTCCATTTCTTGAGATGAAGAATCCTCTCTTGTGCAGCCATCCAGTTACTAACTTCAGTACACCCAGCAGCAGTGCGGCCTCCACCTCCACACCCAGTTACTAACTTCAGTACACCCAGCAGCGGTGCAGCCTTCTACTCCACACCCAGTTACTAACTTCAGTACACCCAGCGGCGGTGCGGCCTCCTCCTCCACACCCAGTTACTAACTTCAGTACACCCAGCGGTGGTACGGCCTCCTACTCCACACCCAGTCACTAACTTCAGTACACCCAGTGGCAGTGCGGCCTCCTACTCCACACCCAGTTACTAACTTCAGTACACCCAGTGGCAGTGCGGCCTCCTCCTCCACACCCAGTTACTAACTTCAGTACACCCAGAGCAGTACAGCCTCCACCTCCACACCCAGTTACTAACTTCAGTACACCCAGCGGCAGTGCAGCCTCCTATCCACACCCAGTTACTAACTTCAGTACACCCAGCGGCAGTGCACCCTCCTACTCCGCACCCAGTTACTAACTTCAGTACACCCAGTGGCGGTACGGCCTCCTACTCCACACCCAGTTACTAACTTCAGTACACCCAGCGGCGGTGCGGCCTCCTCCTCCACACCCAGTTACTAACTTCAGTACACCCAGCAGCGGTGCGGCCTCCTCCACACCCAGTTACTAACTTCAGTACACCCAGCGGCGGTACGCCTCCTCCTCCACACCCAGTTACTAACTTCAGTACACCCAGCGGCGGTGCGGCCTCCTCCTCCACACCCAGTTACTAACTTCAGTACACCCAGCGGCGGTGCGGCCTCCTCCTCCACACCCAGTTACTAACTTAAGTACACCCAGCGGTGGTACGGCCTCCTCCTCCACACCCAGTTACTAACTTCAGTACACCCAGCGGCAGTGCGACCTCCTACTCCACACCCAGTTACTAACTTCAGTACACCCAGCGGCGGTGCGGCCTCCTCCTCCACACCCAGTTACTAACTTCAGTACACCCAGCGGCGGTGCGGCCTCCTCCTCCACACCCAGTTACTAACTTCAGTACACCCAGCAGCGGTGCAGCCTCCACCTCCACACCCAGTTACTAACTTCAGTACACCCAGCGGTGGTATGGCCTCCTACTCCACACCCAGTTACTAACTTCAGTACACCCAGCGGCAGTGCACCCTCCTACTCCACACCCAGTTACTAACTTCAGTACACCCAGCGGCGGTGCGGCCTCCTCCTCCACACCCAGTTACTAACTTCAGTACACCCAGCGGCAGTGCGGCCTCCTCCTCCACACCCAGTTACTAACTTCAGCACACCCAGCGGCAGTGCACCCTCCTACTCCACACCCAGTTACTAACTTCAGCACACCCAGAGCAGTACAGCCTCCTACTCCACACCCAGTTACTAACTTCAGTACACCCAGCGGCGGTGCGGCCTCCTACTCCACACCCAGTTACTAACTTCAGTACACCCAGAGCAGTACAGCCTCCACCTCCACACACAGTTACTAACTTCAGTACACCCAGCGGCAGTGCAGCCTCCTACTCCACACCCAGTTACTAACTTCAGCACACCCAGAGCAGTACAGCCTCCTACTCCACACCCAGTTACTAACTTCAGTACACCCAGAGCAGTACAGCCTCCACCTCCACACCCAGTTACTAACTTCAGTACACCCAGCGGCGGTACAGCCTCCTATCCACACCCAGTTACTAACTTCAGTACACCCAGCGGCAGTGCGGCCTCCTACTCCACACCCAGTTACTAACTTCAGTACACCCAGAGCAGTACAGCCTCCTACTCCACACCCAGTTACTAACTTCAGTACACCCAGCAGCAGTGCGGCCTCCACCTCCACACCCAGTTACTAACTTCAGTACACCCAGCAGCGGTGCAGCCTTCTACTCCACACCCAGTTACTAACTTCAGTACACCCAGCGGCGGTGCGGCCTCCTCCTCCACACCCAGTTACTAACTTAAGTACACCCAGCGGCGGTGCGGCCTCCTCCTCCACACCCAGTTACTAACTTCAGTACACCCAGCAGCGGTGCGGCCTCCTCCACACCCAGTTACTAACTTCAGTACACCCAGCGGCGGTACGGCCTCCTCCTCCACACCCAGTTACTAACTTCAGTACACCCAGCGGCGGTGCGGCCTCCTCCTCCACACCCAGTTACTAACTTCAGTACACCCAGCGGCGGTGCGGCCTCCTCCTCCACACCCAGTTACTAACTTAAGTACACCCAGCGGTGGTACGGCCTCCTCCTCCACACCCAGTTACTAACTTCAGTACACCCAGCGGCAGTGCGACCTCCTACTCCACACCCAGTTACTAACTTCAGTACACCCAGCGGCGGTGCGGCCTCCTCCTCCACACCCAGTTACTAACTTCAGTACACCCAGCGGCGGTGCGGCCTCCTCCTCCACACCCAGTTACTAACTTCAGTACACCCAGCAGCGGTGCAGCCTCCACCTCCACACCCAGTTACTAACTTCAGTACACCCAGCGGTGGTATGGCCTCCTACTCCACACCCAGTTACTAACTTCAGTACACCCAGCGGCAGTGCACCCTCCTACTCCACACCCAGTTACTAACTTCAGTACACCCAGCGGCGGTGCGGCCTCCTCCTCCACACCCAGTTACTAACTTCAGTACACCCAGCGGCAGTGCGGCCTCCTACTCCACACCCAGTTACTAACTTCAGCACACCCAGCGGCAGTGCACCCTCCTACTCCACACCCAGTTACTAACTTCAGCACACCCAGAGCAGTACAGCCTCCTACTCCACACCCAGTTACTAACTTCAGTACACCCAGCGGCGGTGCGGCCTCCTACTCCACACCCAGTTACTAACTTCAGTACACCCAGAGCAGTACAGCCTCCACCTCCACACACAGTTACTAACTTCAGTACACCCAGCGGCAGTGCAGCCTCCTACTCCACACCCAGTTACTAACTTCAGCACACCCAGAGCAGTACAGCCTCCTACTCCACACCCAGTTACTAACTTCAGTACACCCAGAGCAGTACAGCCTCCACCTCCACACCCAGTTACTAACTTCAGTACACCCAGCGGCGGTACAGCCTCCTATCCACACCCAGTTACTAACTTCAGTACACCCAGCGGCAGTGCGGCCTCCTACTCCACACCCAGTTACTAACTTCAGTACACCCAGAGCAGTACAGCCTCCTACTCCACACCCAGTTACTAACTTCAGTACACCCAGCGGCGGTGCGGCCTCCTGCTCCACACCCAGTTACTTACTTCAGTACACCCAGCGGCAGTGCACCCTCCTACTCCACACCCAGTTACTAACTTCAGCACACCCAGCGGCAGTGCGGTCTTCTACTCTACCCTACTCCACATCCATTTCCCAACTTTGCTAAGCCAGTGATGGCCCTCGCAGCATCTCCCAGCCCCAGGGTCTAGGGTCAGGCATTGCATTAACTTGTCATGGACCCTTAGCCGCTTTAACCGTGAACCTTTCCCCAGTCTGTCTTTGTTTTTGTTATTTTAAAAAATTTGTTTTATTTATTTGAAAGGCGGGGAGACAGCAATCTCCCAGCCATTGGTCCACTCACCAAATGCCTACAACAGCCAGGCTGGGCCAGGTTGAAGCCAGGATCCTGGAGCTCAGTCTGGCTCTCCCACATGGGTGGCAGAGACCCAACTACTTGAGCTGTCACCTGCTGCCTCCCAGGGGCCCCGTTATCAAGAAGCTGCATGGAGAACGGAGCGAGGACCTGAACCCAGGCTCTCTGAGGTGGGATGTAGGCGTCCCAAGCACAGCTTAAGCTGTAGCAATACCTGCCCTTCCTTTGTCTCTGATTCTCATGATGTTGGAGGCCATGTTTCCCCACTTTATGAAAAACAGAACATTTCTCCTTTGGTGTTGGTGTTCCCTTGTACGTAGACCCAGGCTGTGGCTCCCGGACCCAGTGTCACCCAGGTGCTGCTCTGTCCTTTGTCAGGGAGCACAGCTGGAGGCCCTGGTGTTGAGGCACCAGTGTCTCCCAGGGCCGCCTGATGGGTCAGGACGCACGTCCTTGGAGCTCCCCTGCCACCTGCCTCACCGGCTGGGGTGAAGCTCCTGGGTCAGAGCCATGGCTTTCATTTATTACCATTTTTCAAGATTTATGTTTTTATTTGAAAGGCACAGAGACAGAACGAGCACTGGCCCACTCCCCAAACGGCCACAATGGCGGGGCTGGGCCAGGCCGAAGCCAGAGCCCAGAGCTCCATCCAGGTCTACATTCACGGCAGGGGCCAAGCACTTTGGTCATCCATCTTCTGTTGCTTTCCCAGGTGCATCAGCAGGGAGCTGGATCAGAAGTGGAGCAGCTGGGACTTGAACCAGCGCTCCCGTACCAGATGCTGGTGTTGCAGACCATGGCTTGCCCCCAGTCCACAACGCCAGCCCCATACTATGAGGGTTTGCATATTAGTGTTGGAATCTGAATAAACAGAGGCCTTTTTAGTATTTAGAAACAAATTTGTACCCTACCTCATTCTCAAGAAGATTTTTGAAGAATTTTAACCTGAAAATAGAAAATAAAATAAGTAGGGTCTGGTGTCGCTGCTCAGCGATTAAGCTCTCTCTTGTGGTGCTGGCATCCCATATCCCAGTGCCAGTTCGAGTCCCGGCTGCTCCACCTCCCATCCAGCTCCCTGCTCATGCGCCTGGGAAGGCAGTGGGAGACGGCCCGGTACTTGGGCCCCTGCACCCACACGGGAGACCTGGGTGGAGTCCCTACTCCCAGCTTCAGTCTGGCCCAGCCCTGGCCATTGCTGCTATTTTGGGAGTGAACCAGTGGTTGGAAAATCTCTCTCTGTCTCTGTCTCTTTCTGTCTCTGTTTCCTCTCACTTCTGCCTTTCCAATAAGTAAGCAAATCTTAAAAAAAAAAAAAAAAAAAAAAAAAGAAGAAGAAGAAGTAAATAAATTGTGTTTAAAGGAAAATAAAGGTAGGAAGATGATAGTAAGGCTGGCTAAAAAAAAAAATTTATTTTTTTTTCTTTTTTCTTTTTTTTTTTTCTCTGCCTGAAGTGCTATGCCCCTATCTCTGCCAGGAACATCTACTTCTTTTTTTTTCTTTTTCTTTTCTTTTCTTTCTTTCTTTCTTTTTTTTTTTTTTTTTTTTTTTTTTTGGCAGGCAGAGTGGACAGTGAGAGAGAGAGAGACAGAGAGAAAGGTCTTCTTTTTGCCGTTGGTTCACCCTCCAATGGCCACTGTGGCCGGCGCGCTGCGGCTGGCGCATTGCGCTGATCCGAAGGTAGGAGCCAGGTGCTTTTCCTGGTCTCCCATGGGGTGCAGGGCCCAAGCACTTGGGCCATCCTCCACTGCACTCCCTGGCCACAGCAGAGAGCTGGCCTGGAAGAGGGGCAACTGGGACAGAATCTGGCGCCCTGACCGGGACTAGAACCCGGTGTGCCGGCACCGCAGGCGGAGGATTAACCTAGTGAGCTGCGGCGCCGGCCAGGAACATCTACTTCGAAGAACTGAGTGTCCCAATCAAAGGCCATCTCCTCATGCAGAGGCCATGTGCGTCCTGTCTCTGCTCTCTGTTCATGTCCCTGCAGTGTGCACCCAGCAGTGTGCAGCAGGTCTCCCGGACAGTGGGGTGAGGGAGAGAGTAGGAGCAGCCTCAGTGCTTTCCCTGGTACACATACTGGCCCCGTGGCTGATGTCAGCTGCGTGCATAATGTCACCAAAGGCAGAGCTGGGAAGGAACAGAAATGGCTTCGTCCTCTGCAGGCAAGCCCCCACGGGCCACTGTGGATCCAGCGCACGGTTTTCCTCTTCAAAACCTACCGTGTAAGAACATGAGTTTGCCGGGTTTTGTTTTGTGATCCGTTTACCTCTTCTGTTTTCTTTCTTCCTCAGATGTCATGAGCTCCAGAGGCCAGGGTCCTGTCTGTTTACAGCTCCACCTCTGGTGCTTATCAGGAAGGCTAGCAGAGAGGAGATGTGCGTGCAGTGCATGTGTGCTGAGTGAGTGACGCTCCTGCAAAGTCCCACACGCACAGTCGTTACATCTCCCCAGTAACGCGAGGAGTGGGCAGGAGCTGTCTTCGGGTAGGATGAAGAATCAGCAAGTGGAGATGGAGATGAGTGCGAGCGATTCCCCCAAGTTCCTCCACAGGCAGTGCTAGGAAGGGGACTGAAACGCTCCTGTCTCCCCAGAGTACCGTCCACACTGCATATCGTAGGTGGTGGTTTCAGATCTCACAGGACACCCTGGCTAAAAAATTAATAATTTATTATTAAAAATAATAATTTATAATAATAATAATTTCATTATTAAATGAAACCTGTTTTAAGCTGCTTTTCCCCTGGAAACGCAGGCCAGAGATTTGGCTCTGAGTGTCCCAGCAGCCTGTGCCAAAAGGGAAGCGAGGGAGGGTGGCTGTGCATTTGTGCTAGGTAATGCTCACTGAGGCTGGCTGGGATGCTCACCCGGAGCCCTGGCACATCCCCCTGCTGGCTGTCCCCGTGCCCCTGGAGTCCTGGTGTGCCCTCCGGAACACTGATCTCTTCCAAGTAGGTGTGTGACTTTTGTAACTTTAAAGCAAGTTGAAATACATTTTTTTTTAAAAGACCAGAAGGTCAGGCTCCTGCTACAGTGTTCTTTCCGCTGCTGCGACCTGAGTAGTTTCGCTCCTGGGTTGTCACGGAAAGGACACAGCCCTGTGGCCAACAGCAAATGTCCTTGACCACATCCTCTCGGCGAACGCGGCGGTATCTTAGCGACAGCCGCTGTACCCTGGTGGGCAGACAGAGGGGAGAGCTGTGGAGTCACAGAAAAGTGGAGCGCAAAAGTCAAGGGCATTGGCCGCTTTTATAAAGATTCATTTATTTATTTGAAAGAGTTACAGAGAGAGGGGGAGAGACAGAGACAGACAGACAGAGGGAGACATCTTCGTCTGCTGGTTCACTCCCCAGATGGCCTCAGTGACTAGAATTGAGCCAGGCCAAAGTCAGGAGCTAGAAGCTTCATCCGGGTCTCCCACGTGTGTGGCAGGGCCCAAGCACTTGAGCCATCATCCGCTGATTTTCCCAGGCCATTGTCAGGGAGTTGGGTTGGAAGTGGAACAGCTGGGACTCAAACCGGCACCCAAATGGGATAAACTGGAGATGCAGGTGGTAGCTTTACCCAGTATGCCATAACACCAACCCCAAATTGGCCATTTTTAAAATGTCAGTAAAGCAGATGTTGGCTGTCCAGGTTTTAGAAAAGTGACTTCCTCACGAGCCCTCAAGGGTGAGGGGCTGGGAGCCGTACTCCCAGGACTGGCTGTGTTGAGCTGTGCACAGGCCACGGTGCCTGTCGTCGCTGGAGGAGTAGAGTGTTTCCAGAGAGAACGGCCTTCTCACAGCAATGGCCTGCGAAGGCTTGGTGGCTTATAGGACCAGTCCATCCTCGCTTCCTTCCCGTTTACTTGCTGATTCATCCAGCACCTAGAGGGTTTCTGGTTCCAGGTAGAAAAGTCCATCATATCTTACGTGGGCAGCATCCTTCTGCCACGTCCCGAGGGGGCAGGGGAAGCTGGCCCAGTGCTGGGAGTCTGGCGACCAATCTCAGAATGAGCACTCACGGGGCCTCGGTCCAGCCCGAGACGTCGGGATCTAGTGCAGAGCCGCAGGGTCCAGAGAGGCCGCAGGCACACAGGCCGTGAACGGGGCTGTCCGTTCAAGGCCCCCAGCAGCAGGGAGGGTCACAGGGTGGCTCCCGCGCCCGGCACCAGCTCCAGCAGCTACTGGCCTGCTCTCCGTCTTGGCTCCTTGCTTCTCCTCTGCCTAATTTTTTTTTTTTTCCCTCCTGGAGTTGTTTAAAGCCAATTCCAGATATGTCGTTTGACCTGTGGATAATTCGGTCTGTGTCTCTGACAGGCAACAGAAAACACGGGCCCACAACACTCGGTAAAATTCTCATTAAATTCCTTGGTATCATTACTGCCAATCCCGTCCATATTGAGATTTCCCTTATTTCCTCAAAATACGATTTCCAGTGGAGTTGATCGGTCCACACAGACGTCGCACACTGCGTCTGGTTTTAGGTCTCTCGAATGTGTTTTGACACATGTTTAATGTAACACCGCCTGTGGCGGCAGTCTGTACAGGGGGACTGCAAGAAGTTCAGGGAAATGCAATGAAAAGATAAGTTTATTTTGGGGTGGAAAAATTCTGAAACACATGCATATGAGGGAACTTAAAGAAATTCATGGAAACTGTGTATTCTGAAAAACGTGCATGGATTTCACTTTTTTTTTTTTTTTCTTGTAGCGTATTACTTTAGCTTTGGTTTGGGCTCCTTTTGAACCCGTGTATGACTCTGCTGGGAGAATGCTGATGGCTTGAGGACGTTGCAGATCTGTCGACCATGTGCCGTCAGACCAGGAAGAACGCGTTGCTGCCGACGGTTAACGTGGTCTCTTTTCTTCTGTCCCCTTCCCGCAGGCTTCGACTATGTTACGGGCCTCCTTGGCACCCGTTAAAGTAGTCGCTCTCAGTTACTCTCATTAGGGGAGCGCTGTCTGTGACCTGGACTGGGAGTCGGTCCAGTTAGTGCCTGGTGCACTGGCATGCCTCGATCTCCACGTTGATGTTAAAGGAGACTGCGGCAACTAGAAACAATGCCATTGAACAGGACTGACCTTTTACTGCTACGTCTGTTTGTTTTGATAGGTAGCAGATGGAGAAAACCGGTGCCTTGTTGCCATGGTAACCACCGACCTGAGTGGGTGTGCCCGTCACGGTGCAGTCAGCAAAGCATTGCATTCATGCCCTGGTCCCAGCCACGGGATGGTTTTTTGTGTATGCCTGAGCATTTGTATCCGCATCAATTAGGCTGCCGCCCACGAGTGCCTGATGCATGCATACTTCAAGTTGTCGCAGCAAGGACGTGGGGAACCTTGAACCTGCACAAGAGGGCTAGGCTGGGTCCTGTCGGCCCTGGGAGCCGCTTGGTTGGGCAGGGCTGCTGTGCGGTTCCCCAGACTCAGCAGTCCTGCCCCGGCCCTGTCCGAGCCTGACCTGACCCTGAGCCTGCTCTGTTCCCTTCTGCTGCCGCCTGGGCAGCAGTGTCCCATAGTGCACACAGGCACACCCTGCTGGGGCCAGCATGCCACCTCTGCCGGCACTCTGCGACCAGGGACTGTGAGGTAGCTCCTCCGGGCCTCGGTCTCCCAGCTGTAAATGAGAACAGTGGTGGTGACTGTGTTCAGGGCTGTGGTGAAGCTAAAAATGATTGACACGGACGAGGCGCTCCACAGTGCCAGGAGCCTGATCCACTGTTCCCAGCGACAAAGAGGCAGGGCCGCCTGCAGAGGGACAGTGGGGCCAGTCGATGCGGGAGGTTAGGAGGGCAGAGGGGCAGGCCGGTGGGGAGAGCTGGACCGCGAATCCGAGGTAAGCAACCTGCTGCTAGCATTGCCCTCACTGGCACTGTGTGTGGTTCAAATGCAGAAGCAGCCAGCTGCAGAATGTTACCGAACACAGATTTGCCACTGGAGCTGTTTTGTGTAGGACAAATTCTTCATGTTAAATACTTTCAGAGTTGCAAAGCGTACAGAGAATTCCCACTATACTCTTCACTTAGATTCCCCAGTGTTAATATTTCACACAAGCCCGGTAGAGTTACCAGAATCAGAAACGAACCTGGAGCCAGTTCTGCCATCACGGAGCCAGTACTACCGTCGAGTCCACAGGCTGTCTTCACGGTTTTACCGTTGTCCCGGTCACCCTTGCCCTAGCCTGGGACCCCATGAGGATCAGTGCTGACTCAGCCGCCATGTCTTCTGCGTTTCCTGTCATTTTGAAATCCTTCTGGCCGGCACCGCGGCTCAATAGCTAATCGTCTGCCTGCAGCGCCGGCACCCCGTTCTATTCCTGGTTGGGCGCTGGTTCTAGTCCCGGTTGCTCCTCTTCCAGTCCAGGTCTCTGCTGTGGCCCAGGAGTGCAGTGGGGATGGCCCAAGTGCTTGGGCC